TCTGAATCACGCACACATTTCTCATTATCTGGTATATTTCCATGTGGTTTAACAACCTTTATATCCTCAAAGTCAACTTTATTGTCAATCTTTCAGTTTGTGTTTACAGACAGAGAGATCGAAATACCGTTTCCCACAATCCCGAATACAAAAACAAATATATATAAAAATATGTATATACCTATATATACACAATCAGCAGACACATTTATACATATGCACACATTAAGATAAAAACACAACAATCCATATATACAAAATAACAGTCACTTCAATATCTTTGAGAATGTACATTAGTGCAAGACTGTCCATAGCAGCGTACAAAAAAGTGTCTGGTGCTGGATTTGAGTGTCTGTGTGTGTGGGGTGTTAAAGTCCAGGGGGGGCAGAAAAAGAAATAGTGCACTTTTTACAAATGCCAAGATAAAAACATCAATTGTTTTTGCACCAGTAACCCCAAGACGTGTGATCAAACATCACCCTACCTTGTGTGTGTGTGTTTTGTCAGATTGAGCGTGAGGTGACGGATGCGATGATGAAGTCCCTGAAGTACTGCGACCTGCAGACGGAGTCGGCGCGGCAACCGCTCTACCAGTACAGAGCTGCAACCATCCACCACCGGCTGGCCTCCATGTACCACAGCTGCTTCCGCAACCAGGTCAGAAACCATGTTAGGGCATACTATGATTACTGCATCATCACCAGAACCCCCTCCATTGACCACATCCTGTTCTTCAGCAACTTCACTGGCTGCCTGTCAAATACCCTATAGATGATAAGATTCTGATCCTCACCTTTTAAGGCTATCCACAACCTCACTCCTCCATACCTCTCCGACCTCCTGCACATCAACACACCCCCCCCCGCACTCTCAGATCTTCTGCTTCCATCCACCTTTCTGTTTAACCACCATGGGGTCCAGGGCCTTCAGCCGCTCTACACCCCCCTTCTGGAGCTCCCTCCCACCTGACATCTGGAATACTGACTCTCTCCCCATTTTCAAATCACGTCTCAAAACATATATCTTCACACTGATCACATCACACGTCCTCTGTTTTTCTGTTTTTATTGATTGATTATATTGTCGTGTTTTTTGGACTTTTGTTTTGTGTTTTGTGTACGGCGACCTTGAGAGCCTTGAAAGGCACCTTTATAAATAAAATGTAGTATTATTATCACATCCTTATGTCTTTTGGACTGAATATCCATTTGTCTTAGTAGAGACATTGCTTTTGCCCAAAAAGTGCCATTTCCTGTTAAGAGAAAGGACTATACTATGACTAAACACGGTCACTGGTGATGGGATGTCTGTTTCACGCTTACAGCAGAATAACACTCACTGAAGGTATTCTGTGTGTCTCTGTCTCGCTGTGTGACAGGTGGGGGATGAGCACTTGAGGAAGCAGCACCGCAGCCTGGCAGAGCTGCACTACAGCAAGGCGGTGTGTTTGTTCCTCAGCCTGACAGACGCTCCCTGCGAGCTGCTGCGCACGCTGCTGGAGAGGGTGGCCTTCGCCGAGTTCACCATGGCAGGTGAGCCGCAGCGACTGCTCTCAAGTGTCGGGTTTCCATCTGCATTCACAGGTCTCGCTAAAAAATCTATTAGAAAGCTGCTCGAGTCCTCATTAACACTAAGAAAGTGGATCACATCACTCCAGTTCTGAAGTCTTTACACTGGCATTGATTTCAAAATACTTCTGCTGGTTTATAAAGCATTGAATGGTTTAGGTCCAAAATACATTTCTAACTTACTGCTAAATGATGAAGCATCCAGAACTCTCAGGTCTTCTGGGACTGCTTTCTGTCCCCAGAGTCAGAACATGGAGAAGCAGCGTTCAGTTATTATGCTCCAAATATCTGGAACAAACTACCAGAAACAAATCCAGGCTGAAGACTTTTCTTTTTGCCGCTGCTTTTAATTGATATATTCATGTCTCACACTGCACTGTAACTTGTATTCATGTACCTGTGTTATTCATGTTTTATTATCTTTGCTTTTAAATGTGTGTTTTTATAATATGTTTCTGCTTCTCTATTTCTTAATGTCTTTGAATTGCCTTGTGTTGAAATGTGCTATATAAATAAACTTGCCTTGCATTCTCTTGAGTTACGTTTCATTTTGTGTTTCCGCAGGTCAGAGCAGCAGCACGGCGAAGCTGAAGAGCCTGACTGGAGCTTTGGAGATCATGACAGAAACTCGCTCTGCCTTCCTGATGATCCATAAGGAGCTGCTGGAGGAGCAGATAGAGGTACCGTTTGAAATGCTCTCTCATGCTAGTGCTTCTTTCCCTTTCCCGATCACACACTGCATACTAAAACATATTTGACTTCTTGTGCTGTAGTTGAGTGAACCTGCTGATTCTCCTGACGCGGCCGGGGGCTCCCCCTCAGGACTGAACCTCCAGGAAGTGATGAAGCTGATCGGCGTGTTTGAGCCGAGTTTCTCCTTCCTGCTGCTGCAGGTGATCAAACTGATGACGACCATGAAACGGAAACCGAGGTGAGCGAGAAACAATGCACATATGAATTCAGACCTTTTTACAAATCAGCCACATGACAAGAGCTATTTAAACAACCACGAATGATCCCGTGGTGTAACTTCAGAGATATGGCATGTTTAAAGTCAAAAAGTCAACCTTTCAGTTTGTGTGTACAGACAGAGATCAAAATACCGTTTCCCACAATCCCGAATACAACAACAAATATATATAAAATATGTAGGCAAATATGTATATACCTATATATACACAATCGGAAGACATATTTATACATATGTACACATTAAGACCTAAATAAAAGCACAACAATCAATATATACAAAATAACAGTCACTTCAATATCTTTGAGAATGTACATTAGTGCAAGACTGTCCAGCAGCGTAACAAAAAGTGTCTGGTGCTGGATCTGAGTGTCTGTGTGTGTGGGGTGTTAAAGTCCAGGGGGGAGGAAGGGGAGAGAGTTCAGCCTCCTGACAGCCTGGTGGAAAAAACTGTTCTCTATGCTTCTACTGTATATTTGACTTTTCTCAATGCTCTCCCCTAATAATATGTTTTATTACAGCAATAAGGATGAGGAGCTGCTGAAAACCTTTAAGAACGTGTACTCCAAGCTGCTGCGAGCGGAGAAAAACGCTCCTCTGCTGAGCCGCATCGAGCTCCACATCGAGCTCCTGCAGCAGCTGACAACACAAACAGGAAGTGGAGACACGGGAACGCATTCATGATGAAGACAGAAACCACAGTGCGAAGGACACTCCAGACCTTAAGTCTTCTTTAAACCCCACTCAGTGACAGAAGAGATGATTTATACACACCTTTTGAACACATGCTCAGGCAACACCGTCCTAGTCTGAAAGCTAATTCACCTGCTGCGCCTTTAAAAAAAACAACTCATCTTTTTCTAGCATTTGCATCGAAGGTTTGGAATTGTACATTTTTGTGAAAAAGTTGTAAATTAGAAGGATATTATTTAATTGTCTTATTGCTTAAGCAGTTATGGCTTGTGTGTAAAGCTCCTATGTGTAGGATTTGTTTTTTGACTGTACCACATTTGATCTGGATTGCCTCATTTTGATACAAATAAAACATACTGTATGATTTTAAAGATGTGTGGAAGTGGTATCACGTACCACTTCCACACACTCAAAAAGAGGGATTTCATTTAGCATCGGCTTACAAAAATAATTGGTCATTTCAATAATACCAAAAGAACTGTGAATAACATAGATTGAAGTGCAATAGCTTGGCAACTTTCAATGCAATGTTTATGTCAGCATGGTTTGCTGTGATGTGAAAATTAAAGGTTTGAATTTATGTTCTGGATGCCACAAATTGTTAATGTACTCGTTGGGATATTGTTACACATCTGATATACTTTTGGGTTCAGGAGATTTTAATAAAAATTTGTTTCAAAGCATCCCATGTCAAATGACCCACTGACTCTCAACACAATATATCATTACTACACTGGACCAAAAAGACCTCCCTATTTTCTAGGATTATATAAATCTTTGTATGAACATTATGCAGTTTTTATAAGAAAGTTATTTTTCCATAGAAATATTCCTAAAAGTAGAAATACAACCCAATACAACATTTGCTTTTTTTCGTCCACTTTAGTAATAATATCATGTATGGATGTAGATTATATACAAATTATATGGCACATATTGATAAAACTAAACGATATCATACTGTATATAAATATCCTCCAGACGTCTGATGACTAAAATCCTTTATCTGGTTAAAATATATAATTAAAATGTCAGCTTCTGGCAGACAGTCACAACACATACGCAAAGGACATGTTGCCATTACTGATGACACAATAAAAAGGGCTGTAATCTTGATTCAAATGATGTGCTTCTCTAGGTTTGAAAATCTTTGGAATCATTTGAGAGAATCTTAATTCACAACTGCAAAAATATTCACAGATGTCAAGTCGTTTTAGACATTTTAAAGAGCAAAATGCTACATATTATCCCTTTAAGTGGGTCAGCTGACAGAGTGCTGAGGGTTCTGGCTCTGGTCCGTCCTGCAGTCGGGTCACTGGAGAGGGAACATTATGTTTTGAATTCAGCGTCAGTGAACCGGGTCGCCCCGCTGTTACTGAGCTGTATCCGCAGCACATGGAGCTGCAGGTGGGCCGAGGCTCTCTCTGATCCTCATCAATCAGGCCGGCCCCTCGGTGCTGGGGGGACCGACGGCAGGACAGAGACTGAAGGGAAGAGACTGAAGGGACGATATGAACGGAGCCACAGAATCATTAATAATGTCAGGGGGGCTGGGAACCTGAATTGTTAACCTCGCTTGAGTTTGATAAGATTTGACATTTTAAAATATGAGAAAATTATCCTTTTAGTAACAATATTTTCGGTTAAAAAAGAAGATAAAATACAATAGTTGGGCAAAGAAAATCAAGATCATTTCAGCAATTATTGTTTTTTTATTTCATATATTAGTGCACACTTTACTATGTAAGATACACATTATGATACTGTGACAACACTGAGGGATTCATGACCAAGATGAAAGGAAATGACTCCTGAAAAAACAGATTATACAATGATTCTGTGCTTCTGTGAAATACAGTGCAGTAAGTCCCGTTAGCTATTGTACGACGCAGCGGTCTGAAGTCCGGTCCTCCTGCGGTTCCTCTTGGGACGTTGCAGGTTTCTCCTTTTGGTACTGATGGTTCAAAATGTTTTGCAGGATGTCTTTGCTCTCACTCTGTGGTAGATTGTAGAAAAAATACTGTGGTGCCATCTGAATGAACCTAGTGAGAGAAAGGACAATATATTCAAACATTGTTGTGTTGAATGCAACTGAACTAAACCTGTTTCAATTTGGTTTGGAATGACTCCTAAGGGTTTTGTGGAAAAAGACTTACAGGATTTACTGACAATATCCACTCCTCACATTATTTGAACTGATTGACACATATAAGATGTTAAACCTAAGAGAGCATGACACAGGCTGCAGAGCTTCCTCTCCTACATTAAGCTGCTCCACATTCACAGGAATTCATCTACCCATAATCCCTCTCCTCCAGCTGATATTTGAGCACAGGATTAGGGCTCCTCCCCTCACAACCAGCATGACCAGTGTCTGCTGAACTGAGGCTCTACATCTGGACCGAAAGGGAATGTGTCCGGCTGATTACATTTAAGCTTCTTTAAAAATGTTAAGATACGAGGGGTGGTCTGCTAGGCTTTCTTCAAAAGCAACAGGAGACCACCGTCTAGTCAACAAGAAACACAGTTTAGAAGACACAGAAAAGCAAATGTTGACCTACTCCTCTGGTGTTGTGTGGGTTACGGTGCGGAGGCAGTTGTCCTCGGAGAAGGAGTGCTGGTGGAACAGCACCCACTCAGGAAGGCCCAGTTTGGGGGTCCTGGCTCCGTACCCAGACAGAGGGTGGAGCTGTGCCACGTGCTTATGGGTGAGGATCAAGTAGTTCCCAGATCCATCCACATCCTGCGCCACCTGAGGGAACAGCCAGGTGAGTCAGATTGCCTTAAACTAGCTCGGTGGAAGTCTTTTAGGAAGCAAACTCCTGCTCTCTGCTGCACTTTCTCAATGCATTGCGATGCATTTGAACCTGTCACCTGAATGTGTGTTGAATTTGCACTATCCTCCTTTTAATGCACAATTTCATTGTTAATCTAAATGTATTTTTTATATATGTCTACTCAACAATTTTCTGTTTGTTTTGATGTCTTTTACTGGTATCTGTATTCTGTGTGAGATACATGTTCTGTGAAATGTCTGTGTGAAGCACTTTGGACTGCACTTGTTGCATGAAAAGGTGCACAAATAAAGATTATTATTATTATTATTATTAAACAGTGCACATAAAAACCCCAAAAGATAACAGATGACAAGAAAATAGTGACTTTTTGTGTGCCTTAAGTGTTTGTAGTTGAAATACTGAAACAGTTGAAGATGTAGTTGAAGTGGCAGTTTCAATACAAACTCTGAGAGAAGATGAAGTAATAATAATAATAATAATAATAATAATAAATGTATATAGCACACTTTAAAAAGATCTCAAGGTGCTTCACAATGCTATGAGGAGAACATACAATGAAATAAAAAGTTATCTAAGGAACATATTGAGTAAAATATGGTAATATAAAAAGAAATGAAAGGACAGTCAGTAAAACACGGGGCAGAACAGGTGGGTCTTAAGGCTTTTCTTAAAAACTGAGAGCGATGCAGAGGTCCGTATGTTCTCTGGAAGCTGATTCCAAAGACGTGGACCCAGTGTCCATTTAGGTGTTAGCACTGAGGGAAGTTGAGTTTAAAACGGTCAAAGAAGTTAAAGATGCCGTCGCAGTTCAAGCATTGAAAGGAGTTCAAATGTAAGATGATGTAAAGGTGATTAATCAAGATAGGAGTTTTAGAAGTGAACTAAATATTGCTAGTGCATGTGCTTAAAGAAGATGTCAGCTGAAATGTGAAAACTGTTAAGTAGGATAGAAATTGTGAAAGAACATTTGTGGAAGTCAGAGAGATGAAGAAGGTTTTTGGTGTTGTTCAGAGGTGAAGGCCTGACACCTGAAGGGTCGGTTTATTCAAGTTGTGTTTCCTGACCTGCATGAAGAAGCCTGCCAGCAGGGCTCTCTTGATGTTGAAGGTGTTGCTGCGGGAGCCGAAGGCAGGCAGTGAGGTGGGCAGCTCGATCCTCTTCAGAGTGTCCGTGAGCTCAGAGCTCAGAGCGTCCGCCATCAGGAGGGAGGCGTGGCTCAGGAAGGAATCCTGACACCACTTCTCCTCATTACAGCCTGACAAAGAGTTGGTTATAGGAATACACAAAGAGTAATGAAGACATCATCAATATGTCTGATAATGTGTCTTTTTTAACTTTACATTAAATCAGATATCATTTAATGACTCCATATTGGGAATTCTTATTCTTGTTCAGCAGCACGTTAACAAGGCATTGCAAATGTAAATGTTTTATTTAAATGAACATAACAGTAGGTATATCTCTAACAAATCTATTAAATACACAATATATTACTAACAAATTAAGATAGACAAATATTGTCTACAAAAAGAAAAATATAAACAAAGGATACTAATACAATACACACAATTCCCCACAACTGTCCATTGTCATTTCGTTAGGCAACCTCAAAAACAGTCATCGTGATTTTTTGAGTAACTCATATGTTGTGATTATGTAAATACCCCCTTGAACCATTTCTAAATGTGATTAAACCTGTTTCTGTGATTATTCACTGATCTCTATAGCATAGTGTGTTTGTGTGTGATGTGTGTGCATTCGCCGCTGCTCTGTAAACTCACATGGGTTCTGCTGGCTTTGTTTGAAGGCCTTGTAGATGTTGATGAGGGTGAAGTGGTCTCCCTCCGGGTGCTGGAACTTCATGTGGCTCTGAGTCGCCTCTGGCTTCATGTCCGCAGAGGGAACTATGAAGCAAGTTGGTGCTGAAACAAAACAAAATGTCATGTTTAGATCCTTATGTTTACTACATTGGTTCAAATGACATGGGAGCCGATGTTTACCTGTTAGCATGGCAGCGATGATGACCACCTCGCTGAAGCAGTCGAACTCACAGGAGGCTAGCAGAGTTTTGGCCATCTGCGGCTCCAGGGGGAACTCAGACATGATGATGCCCATCGCTGAGAGGTTTCCGTCATCATCCAGAGCTGCAAGGTAGTCCAGCTCCTCCAAAGCCTGCATGAGGCCTCCGGGGTCTGGGATGGAGAGGATTTTAGATCATACTTGAATCTATATTTGACTAAATTATACCTTGGTGTAACTGGGAACCAAATCCTACAGAGAACCAGTCTTGTCTTCATCACTATCAAGTACAATCTAGCGTTTAGGTTGCAGATTGAAACAATGCAAATACTCTCACTTCTCCTTTTACAAGCATGATGGAGAACCTAAAATGGCGTTCAGGTGACATACTGTAAAGACATGGAAGCTCTTTCTATAGACATCCATGAAAGACCAGCTTCAAAGCTAATGAAAAACGTCCCACTCAATTCTACACACTGGAACTTGTAACGAAGAGATTATTAATAACATACAATTACACTTTAATGGATTATTGTTCAGGTTTTGTGCCGTCTAAACTGTAATCCAGAGTGCTGACCCACTGAGGCAATCCCCCCCCTTCAAAATACCGGCACCCCGGTGGGCTGCTCGGAGTAAAAAGGCAGCAAGAGATTACATTTTATAATCCTCACCTACATCTGCCATGCATCACTATGCGAAATGAAAAGTGTGTCATGGTTCCAATGAGTCTGTTCTGTTTTTGCAACAAACATGCTTTCCCTTGAAAATCACAGTGAAACAGAGAGGAATTAAATCCACTTTTAAATGCGCCCTATTATCCTGTACACTCCCACAGACCAACACCATGCTCTAATCAACTAATGTGTGTGTGTGTGTGTTGGTGGGGGTGAAATCCGGGGGAACAAAAGCACATGGAAGCAGGTCAGCTCTAAAAGGATGCTGGCAGAACAGGAGCTGTCGGTGCAGCTGAGACACGGCTCACTGCCTTCAAATGAAAAAAAAAAGTTCCTGTGTTGCAACAAAAGGGAACAAACTGACTGAACCCAAAATGTTCTCATTATCACTGAGGATGATGAGGAGTCAGGGGCTCAGCCAACACAAATGGTCATTAAAACTTTCTCTGTGTTTACTTTGATCCATGTGTGTAAGTCTCACCCGGCCTGTCGATGAAGTCGCAGTGACTCAGTCCAGCGATCTCCATCCTCTTCAGGAAGAGCACCGTGGACGTGATGTCAGACTCCACCAGGCGGGGGCGAATCTGCACAGGAAGCTGTCTGTCCTTCGGGTACAGGCAGAAACACTTGCCTAAAGGATAGACAGTTAGATTTACTATATGACAGCAGCAGGGGATTTACTCCAAAAGTGTTTGCAAAAGTTGAACTTCTCACCTTTTGGACCCGTCAGCTGTTTGCGACTCTCGGCTTGACCCGTGCTGATTGGCTGAATGAGGACTGAGTTAGTTCTGATCCTGGGGTTGTAAACCTGCAACAGCATCACAGTGTGTTAACTATATAAGATGCTCAAATGTAACCAAGTACATTTTATACTAACAACAACATTTTCAGACATTTATGTGAAACCTATAGTTAAAAGTTATTTTGCAGATGAAGATTTTACATCTTCAATATATCATCAACCAAATAATGTAAACATACTTAAAGATTAAACAACCCAACAGCGTATTAAGTCGACAAAAATAACACTATTGCGCAGAGCTATATTAAAAAACTAACATGAACAACTAATAAGCATACTTAGCATTCAAATATAAAAACGTATAAATATATAAGTTGAAATATAACTCTAAAAAAAAGAACTATAGTAAAAAGATTGAAAATGTGAGGTGTCTAAATCTTGATGTATTGTTGTAAATCAAAGGGTAATGGGATAAATAATACATGATATAAATAATTAATGAATCAGCAGAATTGTCTCATTATCTAGAGTGTTTCTGGTCATTCCAGTATAATCCTTCTTAATTGCCTTTTTTATAGCAAAAACAACCAGACAGATAAAAAACAAGTACAAATACAAAACAAGGGATATCATTTAAGCTAAAAAAAATCATGATGAATTGTCACCATCATTCTACATCCTAGGGTACCATTGGATGCCTGCCCAGTTCTGGTGGGATCTTAAGAGATTTAACATTTATAACCCTGGAAGAAATAACTTACATTTCTCTTCTCCAGCCCGGCATCAATGACAAAGTTTATGGAGCCCACGGCCCAGAAGAAGTCCTCGTTTGGGCTGGATGTGAGGAACACCCTGCGGGTCCGGGCTGCCCCCCCCTCCTCTAGGAGCGGTAGGTTCCCAGGGCGACCAGGGTGCACAGCGACGGGCAGGAGGTCCCCCAGCTCAGGGGGTACACTCTGCCCCTCATGGCACAGGATGTCATGGGCCAGATCTATCTCCTGGTGGACAGAAGAAAAGAAGAAAGTCAGAGGAAGACATCATTTAAAGGTCACCTATTATACTGTTCTAGGAGGAGAGTCAGGTGATAAGGTGGGGGGGTTACCTTGGTTGGTGATTGGCTAATGGTTACACAAGCCAAAAAAACGTTATGACGGTGGCCAAAATCTGATCAGCTCATTTTCAGACAGGTTTTTATAGAAATGGATCAGGACAAAAAGTGAGCGAATCTTTTTTCCTGAAACTTTCACAATCTCTTTCCACAGAGGGGACACATGGTTATGTATAAAAGACATGAAAAAGTGGATTTTGCATAATAGGTGACCTTTAAGAGCACACATACCATCATGCAGTGCTGCTTTTTACCTGTGTCGTCACCAGAAACACAACCACGTCTCCTTCCTCCTCTGAGCGGTGGATCTCCAGCACCAGGCGGAGAGCGGAGCAGAAGTATCCGTCCCCCGTGCTGCTGTGCACCCCCGCCCCTGCGCCCGGGCTCCGCAGGCGGATCAGAGGCGCTGCTGACCCGCTGAAATGGACCAGCTGCTTCGGGTCGGGGTCCACGGCTGTGAGTAGGACGACCCGGAGCTCAGGCCTCTGCAGGGCCACGTCCTTCAGAAGACCCTGCAGCACGTCGGTGGCCACGGCCCTCTGGTGGGCCTGGTCCACCACGATGACTCCGTAACGCTCGAGCAGAGGGTCCGACATCATCTCTCTCAGGAGCATGTCGTCAGTGCAGTACCTGCGGGGGGGAATTCAACCATGCTAGACATTACACACACTGTACATACTGTACATATTGAAGTCTACTTACACTACCTCACAGGATGTATTGGACTTTTAATTTCAAGCTACTGTACACAATGTGTTGATGTATATAGAACACTGTGTTTATATGTTTAGTAGATTGGTATATTAGAGAGTAATCTTATTTATTCTGTATATTTTGATATTCTGAATATATGTATTTTTACTGAGGATATGTATTGTTTGCCAATGTTAATGTTCATCCTTGTATTTTATTATATTTTTAAGAAATGCCAAAATGCTGCTGTGACAAAACAATTGTCAACTTCGGATTATTAAAGTATCTTTCTATACATTTATCTATTTATATCTATCTATCTATCTATCTATTAGGAGGGAGCAAACAGTACCACACCCAGTATTTCAATTTAAATTGTTCCACCATTAAAATTAGTTTTGTATTCGTTCCGCTCATGATAGTGCACAATAAACGCGAAAAGATTCAGAATCAAAACTCAACTCAATTTACACTTCCCATGACCAATAGAATCCGTAATAGCCTTAACATAAATCCTCAGGTTTCTTAATTATAATTCAGAAAGAGAGGAACCTCAGATGGGCATTTTAATGAAAGTCACTTTTATCTACATGTCAGCTTTACCCCCATTAGTGTAATTTACTCTGATAATTACGCAGAGGAGGGGATCTCTCCTACATGCTGGCGGCCTGAGGATCTGATCTTTCCCCCCTCAGTATCCCGGCTTCCTTTGTCCCCCATCTGACTTATAAGGGACCCTCATGAGGGAGTGTGACATATGGGCAGACGGGGGGCTGGGCAGCTGTGGAGGAGCCCCTGAAAAGAGCCCCCTCGGGCCTTTTGTTCACTCCTTTCTTGTGAATTAGAAAGGGCGGGGTGATTTAGCAGAGTGTGTCATGACTGTGCTTTATATTAACCCGGCAGAAAGAGAGATAAAAGCAGATAGAGAACACTGGATAGATCTACGTGCTGCTTTGCCATACCTTAGGACTGAGTCATTGTGGGAACATGCTTCCAAAGGGATGCTGTATCCGACTTCATGACCAATGTTGACGTCCATCTCATCTGCCACTCTCAGGGCGAGATCTACAGCCTGCTGCGCGTGAATCTGCGTACAAACCACCATGCCATGCTGGAACTGGACTGACAGGCAGAATTCAGCACACCACTGGGGGATCTGTTTCAAAAAAGAGCAAGATAAGTTGTTTAAATCAGAGATGCGTACCCACTTTACGTACAAGTTTGAATATCCACTTGCACAAAGTTGCTGCATGAATTCAAAGTGCAGTATTTTCCATGGTTAAGTGTAAAACACCCGTAGTACTCACTTGAGAACTTCTTCCAGTTTTGGCAGAGCCACTGACAATGACAAACCGTCCTTTGGCCAAAGTGTCCATAAATTCACATTTTGCATCCCACACTGGCAGCTCTTTCCTTTCCCTCAGCAATTTGTAAAACCTGGAGGAATAAGGCAGTCCATCAAACTGATTAAGCTCCAAAATATCATCATTTTCAGTGTCTCGTTGACTCAGAGTCTCTGAATCTGAACAACAGGGTGATATCCTCTCGGTATACTCCTCTCCAGTTAAACCAGTAATGTCCTGCTCCATCACAAGTGAGTTCCCAGTCTGTCTGCTTAAGATTTCATAAACAGATCCACGAAAACAAAGTCTGGAAGTGTCCTCTCTCAGTAAACTGTTGGACAGCACACAGTCCGCTCTGCTACTGAAGCCAAATGAAAGACTCTGTAGGCGGCCAGCCCAGTGCTGTCATGTGGCCACTAATCCCATAGAAGAGCGGTCATCAACAGATGACACACACACTCTCTCACACACACACATATTCACACACATTGATGTGAGAACACAGATAGATGGGCAGAGAGGGGTCTGATGTTTACAAAACAAACTGGCTCATTTGCAAAGACCCCAAGCTATGCATGAAGTAAGATGCAATTATTTCCAAACCCTGTTTAATTAAGACGGTAATTAGGAAATTAATTATACCACTGGTTGACAAACTGAGATTATTTGTGCATCCAACAACAAGCAGTTGTGCCAGAAAATACAGATATCTATAACCAAGGGGTTAGCAGTAGCACCAACTTGGGATTTGTTTTCAGCCTCCACAGTGACTTCATTTATAGTTCTTAAACAGTGGTGTTACATTTGGAAACAAACTGAAACTAATTAATTTCAGTATCATCACTATTGGTGTAATACTTCTACTGTACATATCATTGTACTTGGGTTGAATCAAGGCAGCATATAAGCTAATACATCAAATTTAGAAAATTCCTTTCTATTAACTTTAGTAACACATCAAGAAAATACGTTTGGCGCCCACCAGTGGCTGACAATTAGTTTAAACTAACACCACTTAATGTTACTAGGAAGCATTTTCTTTCACAATAAATATTAGTCACAGTTTTGCGCTAACCAGTACAACAACATCCCTCATTATATGTTTATAAATGTAACTCAACATATATTACTGATGCCTGTTTTGGTTCCTTTAAAGCTGTGATTTCTTCTTGTTCATAAACATTGATAGGACTGTTTTCTTGTGGTTCCATCATGTGCTTTGGCTCTCTCTAAATGAGAGTGTAGAGGTGAAAGGGTTTCTTGTTTGTTTTCCATCCCAGTGCTGGTCTCAGTGTTTGGAGGGGAGCTGCTCTTCAATCAGGACTGAAGGGCGACTTCACCCTGAAGCTTATTGGAGCACATTAAGGCAACATGAGATAAGAATGGAGGAAAGAGAAGCCCCTGTAATGACCGCTGTTGTCTGACAGATGGCAGTGTTGAACAACAATGATGTGCTGCTCAAACAGCAGAGCAGGGCAGACCCTCATGTTAAAATGAGGTCAAACACATACTTGAAGTTGTTCTCTTTAAAGTTGTTTTTGTGTTGGAGCGCACTCATAAATAAATAATCGTTGTCTTTTGTATCACAGTAACAATTACCGGTGTGACCTTTCTGTGATGTTTTACTTTCACACTAAAACAGCTTAACTACTCAACAAGAAAACCATTGGCAACAGCTACTCTCAACATTCTGTTTCCATAGTAACACACTACCACTCAGTGTAAAGGTGCTCTAAAAGGTGATTGCTAGTGTTTAACCCATGGGTGAAGAGAATGGTGAATATTTATTTACTTTTAGTTTAAAATACATTCTGGATGAGACTTTTACTTGTAGTTGAGTATTTTTAAGACCATAGTATTTGTACTTTTACTTAAGTTAGGGATCTGAGTACTTCTTCCAACACTGGAAACAGACACATAGAAAACGGTTCATTGGTTGCTGCTTGTTAGATTAAACATTGTAGTTTTACAGTTATTTTGTTGTAATGGTGACTTTTTGTTGGCTTTCTTATGAGATAAATTAAAAAAAAAAATCTTTTGCATTGATGTTGATCAAATGGTGAAATGGTTTTCTTATGAACCCTTATTTATCTCCTTAACAGACACTTTTAGAAATGTTCTCTTAAGCATTTTCTTTGTAACACTTACTGTACTGAAGTCATGTTTCCAATAACATCCAAAAATCAAAGTGAGAAAGCAATTAGAAATACTTGTTATTAACAGTCATAAAAGGAACTTTATTTGGTTTCTGATTTCATTAATAAAATCTCTCAGTTAAAATGAAACACTTGTCTCTGGCCTGCAAGTTAAAGGTTGACATCTTTAAAATGGCCACCCAGTGTAAATGGGGCACAACCTCAAAGCAGTTCTTACTGTATAATACTGTGCTTGTAAAAATAACAAAAACAATGACATAGAAATAATAACTGAAATACAATATTTACACTTTACAATGGCTTTAAACATGGTACAGTTATGTAAATAAACACGGTACATTTAGGATTTACAAATGGTAACATTTAACGACTAATCGACACAGCACTGACAAATATTTTCCAGCGGAGAGCGGTTACTCTGACTGTCGAACACATCTGAACAAAACAAAACAACACACTACTTGCACACGGCTGCAGGGCTTTACCGACTTCAATCATTCTGCAGTGGTGAGAAGACAAACAGTGCATGTGGACACACTGTCAGAGGAGAAAGAAGTGCGCTGTCAGGTTTTTACCAGTTGAATCCCTCCTTGTTTAACAGCAAGTCAAACACAAATAACATCAGGGGAAACTGGCAGACTCAAAGTGCAACGCCCAGCTGATGAACGATGCTGTAAATGCATGAATAATCCGGTCCAAGGAAATCAAAACCGTACGAAATCCTAAAGGAATGGTATGAAGGTGAGACAGATACGGTAACACATCTCGTTGGACACGGTTGAGGGGAACTTGGAACGCTCATAGCGCTGAAGTCATCCGGCTTGGCTCGCTCACTCGAGGACAAAGTGAGCGTAAATGTAAAACATACAAACACCAGAGCTAATGCTGCATTATTTGGTGTTGGTGTAATTCTCTGGAACACAATCAGTCTGTCAAATCTGTTGAGACTCCACAGCGTCTGCCAGTATCAGGACAGAGCGTCCAACACATGCCCGAGCAGAGAGTCGGAGCCAGGCTGGAATATGTGTGAAAAGTACTTTCTTTGTCGAGTACAAAGAAGTGAACTTATAAGGTCATAAATGAGCCTGACTGTGAGGCTGTAACATGATGAAACCCACAATACAAACATAGTGTGAGGGTTTAATAGAGTCCACTGTATTAAAAACAAAAATAAGATTGTAGCACCGTGGCGACAGCGATGGAAAAGATGTATTTAACACATCGTAAAAAATATAAAATAACTGAATAAACACGGCTCTATGGCTCACAAGTTACACTGACAATGTGCCGAGTTGTGCTCCATTTCCCTTTATCGTCGTTTTTGCGCTTCGATTATTCAAGCAACTTAACTGGTTATAAAAACATCATATATTTCAGCATGTTGTTTGAGAAAAAACGTATAAAAATCACCAAAGAATGCAAAAGAAATATTCTAAAATTGCACCCTCTTTTTTAAACTTTTTTAAAAACACTCAAGAGAGTCCTGTGCACAAACTGGTGATATCGCAGTTAAATATTTAAATAGATAAATAGTTCATTGGTACCTGAGCGAGGACAACAAAGCACCTTTTAAAGCACCGAGGTGTGAGCCCCCTTTCACTGGAAACTCTGAGATGCTTCCCACTGTCCAAAAGGTCCTACAGAGTCTCAGTATTTAGTGCAAATCAAGAAAGTCTCCGTCTGTCGGAGTCCATGACGTAAAGAGGGCTGCAGTCCTTATGTCTTTGGTGGTCTGTAGGGCAACATCGGCACAGGTCTGAAACACAAGCATCAATACAAGACGTTATCACCACAGAAAAGATCAAATGTTGCATATCACGACCAACATGCACATGATTTTCCATTTTTCTGAGATACAGATTCACGTCATACACTTCTGTATACTAATGATTAATATTTCCTTTCAGACACGCACTTTGTTGCATTAATCTGATGAAAATAAATAAACACGCCATGTCTCATGTCTGAATAAGCTCGAGTCATTTCGAATTCCAAAGTCACAACGGTAATCTCATTAGGTCGGACTGACTGCAGTAACATTTTTCATTAAATTGAATTCATGTAAAGGCTGCAGCGGTACAAGGTTAGAGCAGTGTAATAAAGATATCACCTCACGCACACGGAAAAAAAGTGTTTCAATAAACCAGGAAACACTGCAGCGCTGCCAATGAGACAACTTTTAGTTTGGAGGAGAGTGTTTTCTTGGATAAGTCCAAAGAAATATACTTTTATGTGGTCCGGTGCAAAGAAAGTAAAGAAAACAGCTTAAAGCCAAAATACTAAATCACATCATCACTCCCAATTGCATGGATGAAGTTAGGAATATGTGTATCACTGCTAATCAATAATAATGATCTAAACAGGGTAACAAAGCACTCAAAAAAGATACGTAACCAAACGGAATATAGTTAAATTGATAAAAAAGTATGATCTGAATGAAGGTTTCAAAGCAACAATAACTTCAAATCCCTCAGTGGTACAGGCAGTACAGAACAGAAAACACTACATTTCTTCCTTGCTATCACTATTTTCCTGCAGTGTCATCCCTTCTTCTCGCGCACCAGGTGCCAAACACCGTGCAATATATATCACGTCTGAATAAAGCTGTGACAAACATTAAGGTGATGGACAGTGACGTCTGAATGACAGAAAGCCATTAATTTAACAAGACAGATGAAGCCAGCTCTGTATTTCACGTCTGACATTCCCCATCACGTAGCTCTGACCTGCTGGGTAGAGGGATGTTGGGCGGGGGCCTGGGCACCGTGGGGATGGGGATGGGGAGCGGGCGATTGGCTGGGAAGTAGACCCCCGATGTGGCACCGTGACCCAGCCGAGAGCTCCTCCCTAGAGGGTCTGCAGGCAGGGGCTTCTGGGGAGGACTCGGCTTCATGTAGTCCTGAAGAAGAAGAAGAAGGAATATCAAGGTTAACAATCTATATGTGGTTATATTGGTATATAAAAAGAGAGCCAATAGGGTGGCTGTGGCTCAGGGAGGAAATGGTTGTCAACCAATCGGATGGTCGAACATGTCGAAGTGTCCTTGGGCAACATACTAAACCCTAAATTGCTCCATGGCCACTGGTGTGGAGATGCTTTGTAAATCACTATGGATAAGATCCTAAGCTAAGTGAAATGTAATAATGTGCAACACAAATGTTGTCCTATATTCAAGATACAAGGCTTCTATTGTCATTTGTACATAGCTACAGTGTAGTTGTGACAATGACAATCTGAGGTCACAGGCTCCTCCAACAGTGCAACACAATAAAACAGATAATAGTGCAAGTACATCAAATCAAATAGAATATAATAGAAATAGTGCAGAATAGTCGATATACAAGTAATTGGAATATTGATATCTATAAGTTGCAAACAGATGAATGTTATGGATGTTCTTTCAAAAGTTCAGGTGTTAAATGATATGATGATGATGTTATTTGTGTTTGACTTGCTATTTAAATAGTGCATAAAAGTGCATGATAATGGTGAATCTGTCCTGAGGAATGACAGATTTGCTCTGAATTAATTGATTTGAAAATGCACATCAGCCTTGTTCTGAGTTGGTATCAATAGATATGTCCTAGATGCTAACTGACTTTAATTTGAAAAACACCACAAATCCCATTACTGTTATCTTGAGTGAAAGGGAACCTGAATAATATATCAGGACACCTTCTACCTCCCTCTGAATATGGATTAGCTGTACGGCAGACAAAAGCAGACAAAAGCTTCACTAGAGGGCGATGTGTTATCTCCTCTGATTCCACCGCTAACATGAGATGAATCCCAAACCTCCTCTGTGTCCGCCACCTCTGCGGCAGTGTGTGTGTGTGTGTGTGTGTGTGTGTAGAAGTTTATCTGTACGAGGTGCCATCATGTGTTACTAATCTACAGCAAGGAGGCGAGGCAGTGATACACATCTGCCACCAGCAGACCTGCTACCGTCACACACACACACACACATGTATGCACAGAACCACGACACACATGGACACACTTTAAGCTATATGCACACACGGAGAAACAAATAAGTGTAACACAGCGAGAACAAGGGAGCTGCAAGGTTTAAAACATTCATGAGTGCAGTCGAAGCGTGACTGGGTTTTGTCAGGACAACACTCAGACTTACTGTGGTGTTAAAATGATCAAATAAAAAGAATACATTCATTTGGAGGCGCCTTTCACGACACCCAAGGACACCGTACCACTTAATGACCTTAATTAATTGTCCTATTATCAATTTAAGTAACTGTTTACTACGACTCCACTTTACGAGGGAAATACTTTTACCGCACTACATTCATTCCAGCTTTAGTTACTTTAAAGATTCTGATTAACATATTTTAAACATGTGCAATTAAAGGTTAAGATAGTACTTTACTGATCACTAGGGCAGGAATTCACAAGCTAGATTAATAGCTTGTAAAAATATAAATAAAGCTTCTCCTTTACCAGCTGAAACATTAAAGTTATGAACACATAAATGCATCCATAATTCAATTCAGACGATTTCAGAAAACATTATTGTATATAAAATATTGATTAAAAAAACTGTCTTAGGTAAAGGGCTAATAGAAAAACAACATAAAAAACATACAACCATGAAAGACTCCCATACAAATGCATTAGAGGAAGCACTAGAAGAATAAGAAGCACATGTTCTGACCTGCATCTAAATATAGTGGCAGTCTATTTGGCTTTGTTCAAAGTGGATATTGCAGCAGGAATGAAGGAGTTCTTGTAAGGTCTCTTTTTGGTCAGAAGTGTTCTGAAGTGGCAGCCTGATGGAGTGAGTGAGGGTCCTCTGAGATGTGAAGTCTGCTTTTCTCTCGACTTCATCGCTGTAAAGGTCTGAGAGTTGAGAGGAGCCTGAGATATTTAATGGAAGCTTGTTGGATCTTGTGAGTCATTCTTTTCTAATACACAACACCTTTCCTTCCTATGTTCGATCATGCACTCTGCAAGTCTGTTGTTGCAGCTTAAAAATAAATAAAGTAGGCCTGTAAATAATTACTATTTTTCATTTTCAATGTTTTCTTTTCTAAACCATTTTTGTTTTTGGTCTTAATAGGGAAAGTTGGAAATGACCGACTGAACCACTTCCGACTGACCAAGCTGACACTTTTTTTTATTTGTCCTAAACCAAAGATATGATTTTTAATATCAGCAGATATTGACATTTAAGCAGCCAGAACAGTTCTGGGAGCTTTCAACTGAATTGCCTCCATTTTCTATGAAATACAATCAGAGCTGTCACAAATTAAGCAAAAAACTAAACATATTTCCATCATTTTAAGTATCCAATTCATAGTCTACTCTAGTGGTTCTCACTATTAAAACAACAAAAGCAACAATCATACTCCATATAATATTCATTAGCTAAGGTGCACTGCAGCAGCCTCTTTTCTAAGAGAAACGTATTTAACAAACATTTCTTGTAAAATGTGCAAAACTGCATAGGACAGCCCAGAGCTCTTGAGATGCACTTACAAAGGCAGGATGCCCTCCAGAGGTTGAACTGTTGATGCTGATCTGATGGAGCACAGCAGGTCCCATGTACTGAGTCTGCTTCACACTCCCATGTGAGTACTGTTCTTATTAGCTCAGAGTTAGGGGGGGTATTCAAACATGCACAGTATGGGATTTGTGGGATCCAGTTAGAGAACATCTGTGTGAATATATTATAAAGTGAAACTAACACAGACTTTACACATTCAGCGTACCACCCACTGTGATCTTTAGTGCACATTACTCCCTGGCAAATCCTACATGTGTAACTTCTGGACAGTTTAGTGAATAACGACTCCTCCAGTTACAAAGCAGGCTGTTCTTCAAAGGCTGAAGATGAAGATGAAAACAAAGATGTTAATAGACAGATGCATCCGCTGAAAGGCACGAAGAATCCAGCACCGATGTGCATTTTAACGCTGCTCTTGGAAGAAAATCTCACACTGTGTGACTGGAGCCTTGGTTGTGTGCATATATCTTAATTCAAAATGAAGGATTGCACCATCCTCTGTTACTTATGCACGATCTATGAGCCTTGGGTTTACAAACACCTTTCACAATCCTCCGGAGGAACTGAAATATGCGTGTTTGTCTGGCCAAAAGCAAGGCTGTTTCTCTAAATTCCTGAAAAGATGACATAAAATGTGTGATGCTGCAGTCTAATTGTGCAGTGCATCCGAATAAGGTTTGAGCTTGTTTGCCTAACATTTGACTGACTTCCCAGGTATCTGATATGTCTTTTTCAAGATAATAACGAGCAGGTCTGTTTGAGAAAAATGTCCATCTCCCGCACTGTTTTCTTATCATGCTCTGCCTCATTGTAAGAGATGTAGGAGAGGTGTTATTCTCTTGGAAACACCTTAACATTAATGAGGTGCAATTGGCACACATGCATAAGATAGCCTGCAAAAAAGTATTTTTAAAATGAGACATATTGGCAAAGACAGCAGCAGAGGTTGTGTCAAGTATTCCAATGAGCTTGTAATACACTTTTTTAAAGGGTTGATGTCCTGTACGTCCTTGCTGGCCTGTTATTAAACCTCAACAGTTCCTCAGTTTCTGACCTATAAGTGCTGTTTCTACTCGCTCCATCTGTTTCATTACAGCGTAATGAGATAGGAGATAATAGCAGGTAGTGGCGTTTCATTGTTTTGGCAGGTCAGTGAGCAGCTTATTTAAAAAGCAAGCGCTAGCCTTTCAGCCAAAGTGCATCATTAGTTGGCAAACGTTGATATTAATCAGGGGTGATGTGCTGCAAGGCTTTATATGGCAACACAAAATCATCCCGAACTGAATATTAAGGCAGTCGTTTTTGCTGAAGAAATAACAAGGGAATTGATTCTTTGTTTGAACACCAACAACTTTTCTAAAAATCTGATAAAAAGGTCCAAACTAGACCCTGCTTTCTTTGTTAAGCCAAACATGTTGTTAACCCTGGTTTAATTCTTCCCAAAGTATTCTATTTGATGAGCTTATTATACGTGTGATGTAACATACTCGTGTTAACTAGCAACTATAGCTGTGATATAAATGTATTGGAGAAACAGTAGCCTGCAGTATTTACCTCTATGGGAATGATATCATAAAGTAACAGACATTTGAAACACTCCAGTTGAGTACATTATCTTGTACTAATTTCCAGAGTAAATAAAAGTACTTCCCACCCCTGCTGCTGCTCACCTGAATGATTAACCTTGGAGGTATGATAACTGGATCTCTGTACGTCTCCCTGTAAATCCTTCCTTCATGCGTTTGCCTTAACATCTAGGATTAGGTTACGCTTCTTATCCAACATGGAGAAAGCGTCACATCACAAAGCTTGTGTCTTTATCTTTTTTTAAAGCAGCGGGGATCCGTCTATTCCCCTGCGCTCCCTGCTGGGTCTCACAGAGAACAGACATCCCACAGCACAGCTCCCTGCGCTGCGCCGCTACAGGAACGCATCAGGATTTGGATGCACCACCAAATCCAGCAGACAGATGGATTTACTATCTCCACCGCATCCAATACCGCTAGGCTAAGCAGAACGCAGCGTCTTACTCAGGAGTTGGGTCACGGGGGGGGAGACGGATTGAATGTTGCAGTCGATAATGTGGGCAAGCAAGCGGACCGCAGTGCAGGAATGCAGTAATACTAACATTCAATGCTTTGTTACAACATTTACACATGACCATACAGGTCGCTGTCTCAGTTTTACACCACTGACTATAATTAGCATATTCTTTTAATCACTGCAGACCATTTTTTAGTCTAGAGTATCTCAGCTTTAAGATTGGTTTCTTATATTCCATTCCACTCCATTGGTTGCGGTTCATTTGACTATGAACATCTCATGGCTTTGCTTTACAAAGATCATTCATCACAGTTTCCTATTTAGAGTGAAAGTTACATAACTTTCATGAGGTAATGCATTGTGGAAAGGGACTGATTTCTTCATCTGTGTGTCCGAAGTAGCTGTGACCAACCGTATTTCTTTGTTGTTGTTGATTTGCCAACATATATCTCACTGTGAAAAATGATCTCCCTGCAGTGCATGATAGAGTGGTTGACCTATAAAAATTGAAATTTGAACATCTACAGTTCCATGAAATCACATGAAATGACTGCAAGACCCAGAGCAGTGAGATGTTTTATTATGAATATAACTTATGAGTGCAATGCTTGTTTTGCAGCTGACTCATATCTTGGATGGCTGTCCTCAAACGCACCACCAAGGATTAATATTTCCAATGAGAAGTTACTTTGACATTTGGAAAGAAGAGGACTAAATGGTCACTGTGACCTTTGCCAAGACATTTTCAAGTCCCAGTAGGTTCATTTTTACACTTCATTAAAATTAAATTATGTTAAAAGGTAGCCTAGAATTTACAGGAAATCAATGTATAAAGTTGTGTTTTGGTTCATAAATGGTACTTGAATTTATGGGCTATGTATGGTCCAGTAAAGCTGTGGTCTACACAGAAACGACCATTTTAAAATATTACAAGACAGTTTCTGATCAAGTTAAAGCTACAGACTTGGAATATATGAATACTTGAGTGAAACAAACCTGGTCTGCTCTGCAGGACGGCTGCTGGCGTGGCAGGCTGAGGAAAGGTGTCACTCGGGGGGGAGAGAGGGGCGTGTGGGCGGGCAGGACCCTGTGGTAGGCCGGCAGAGGAGGCAGGATGGGATGGCCCACGCTCAGAGACACCGGCATGGGCTGGCTGATGTGCAGCGGCTGGTAGAGGGGCAGTCTGCGCAGGCTGTGGGAGTGGAAGCTGTGGGGGTGAAGGAGAGGCTCCGCACTCAGGAGAGACGGCTGGAAAGAGGAGAGAGGAAGATATTTCCAGCAGTTATGCTTTAAGCGGGTTTCGTTTAGCATGAAACACTTGAAATAACTAAAGGACAAGTTAAACAAGAAAGTAGAAAGAAAGGGAGGTGATAGAAAACTATTTCTGCTAAAAAGTTAGCAATGATTGAGAGTCAGACCTAAACATTTCAGATGTGTGTATCTCACACTGCATTGTAACTTTTATTCATGTATCTTTGCTTTTAAATTAGTGTTTTTAAATGCCATTTTATAATATATTTTGTAATGCTCTTAATGTCTTTCATTTTTTAATTGCCATGTGTTGAAATGTGCTATATAAATAAACTTGCCTTGCCTTTATGTGGTCAGGCTCAAATATACAAGCATTTGTGATAGGTGTTAATAATAATGTTCTCTGTTTATTTAAGTCTCACATTGTAAGACTAAGCCTGAATGCACAATATGAGCAACCTGAAACCAAAGCTTCTATATGGAAGAAATCATTTATTTAATATTTACACCAAAGTTGTTGCTTTGTCAACGCTTTAAAAAGGCCTTTTTATATAAGAGTTTTTAACACTTTCTCCCAGACAATTTTGTACCCTCCAACATATTATCTTGTGCAGTACTGGTTTGTTTTGTCAAGCAACTTTTCTGAGTATTACTTGTACTTCCATCTTGTTAAAAAGGTAAAGACTTCAGATTTTCTCACTTTAAAGGTGGGGTAGGTAAGTTTGAGAAACCGGCTCGAGATACACTTTTTGTTATATTCCATGGAATTCTCTTAACAATCCGATAGCAATGAACATCTTAAGTGTCATCTGTGGAAGCCGTAGTACTGTAAAAAGCACGACCAATCATTTTAGCCGGCCCGGCTAAAATAACTGGATGGCCTACCTGCCTGTCAGCCTTCCATCTGTGCACAAACTTATCTCGTGCCCTCATTGGTCATGTGCGCGTTCGTGTGTGTTTGAGGAGGGGCTCTGTGAGGAAGTGGCAGATTTTTTCCGGCTGTGTATTTTCTAATTCTAGCACACTCGAGCTGGTTTCTCCAAAATTACCTACCCCACCTTTAAATGATGTAAAATAACTACATTTCTTTCGGTCTTAGACTTTAGGGTCGGACAAAAAGAACACCAAGCCATCATTTTAAGTACCTTGGTAAGGTTGCACAGTTTTTGTGGTCTGTTTTGATCTGGTCTAGTTATCCTCTGGTCTATTCAGATTGTTTGATACTGTTTTTGGGACCCTTTTCAGATCAGGTCTCTTAAGAACTTAAACTTGTCCTATCTTGGTAGGATATGGAAAAAGTTTCAAAATGATCAAATATCTCTCATTTAAAGAAGTCAAATTGGCCTCTTATAGACTTCATTTTGATTATAAGATGGAATAAACAAAAAACAACACCTTTAATGTTCATTAAAAATAAATGTACTTGCCTTGCTTACTGACAACTCAAAAGCTTTAACCTGAATTATTAAAGTTTAGTTCAGGCATTAAAAGTAAAACTCTGCTTCAGACATAAAACTCTCGTTAGTGTGAAAGAGCTGATGTCATAATCAGCCATAAAACTGGGGAACAGCGTTATTAGAGATGACGCTCTGAAATAGAAGCCAGAATCTGACCACATGTCCTGACCAGCTGTTAGCCCTCCGCTCAGAACAAAACCAATAACGCCTCAAATGGCCAGAAAGGATTTGGCTGCTAGACAACAATCACACACTCACACATGCACACACACAATGCAGATGTAGAAAAGAGAATGGCTGGAGAGGCACCATAATAAGGATGGACAGGCTGTTTCAAAAAGTCATTCTGGTGGACAGAATAATACACAACATGAACTGGACAACCCTCTGCATTCAATTAGGATATAATTACAGCTTTTTACACTGTTGCTACAGATACGGGACACGGCAAACACACACAAACACTCATGAATATAAATGCTTTCGTTTGTCACACACACATATTAATAATAGGTAATCTCCGGCTGTGCTGATCGTTTCCAACAAACAAATCAAAGCCTGATTTCCTCCTCCGCCTAAATCAATCAACTCTGCTCCCCCCTAATCATAACAAATATTTTTTTTTATCACAAACAAATATTCAAAGGGCTCAAATAACAACCTCCTGAGTTTCACTTAAATAGTGCAATCTCTCAATTACATTTCCTCTGCATTCCGTCAACAAAAGCAGCGTAATTAATATTTCTCAGAGAGGTAGAGAGGGAGATATATATAAAGTGAGTTTGAATCAATTATCCAGCATTTCTTTTTGTCAACAAGCCTGGCGACTTTAAACCGAGGCGTGGATGATAGTGAAGTGATCTTATAGTGTGATTAAGAAATAATTGACAGGCACTCACAAGGGTGTATATGAAAAGACATTATACACATTATTAATGCCGTGACAGATGTATTGCAGGCAGTGACTCACCTTATAAATGTTGGCTGCACAGGGTTTGGGTGGAGGCTTGCGTTTTGGGGTGGGTCTGTACATGGACTGAGTCCTCATGGGGCTGGTGGGCCTGCAGGCCTCCAAAGATCTATACACACAAAACAAGAACGTAAGGTAACGTAGGTCCAATCTGTAGCGTTTGGTTTTTAACCATATAGATATGCACTTATAGTATTGCAATGTTGTTTGGTCACTACTATTCTTTCTTTCTAAGAGCTTTAATTGACCTACATTTTTTCAAACTTTTCTTCAAATGGAAATTATCATATGCCTATTTTATTGAGTCTTATCAAGTATTGTCTATCTAAAAACGTGTTGTTTATTCTTTTTGATTTGTGCACAACTTGTTCATGTATCTATTTAACATAATGTTAAGGTGTGTGTATTATAATGTATAATATGCAGAGATCCCGGCTGTTAGTTGAAGAGCCGGTCACTTTTTATTATACTGAGCAGCAATTCATTACAATATAAAGTATTTGAATGTATTGTATGCTTTTTACAAGATGGTCTGAATGAGTCTCTCAATTTGTACTTTTGTGATACAAATGTTCTCAGGTGAATCTAAAAAATATAGGCTATTTCTCCCCCTGTGTTTAAAATATCACTTAAATAAACAAGAAACTATGAGCTTCAGGTTTAGCCATATTCGATTGTGATGACGGTTGGTGGTGTTGCTTGTTCTTGTTGCCAGTCCACTGACAATCAAACGTGATGAACATTTAAATCAATGACTTATTGCATTAGAACTTGGTAGAAACGTCTCGTTAAAACAAGACAGCAGGAATAAGAACTCAACTTCTCACAGAGGCACAATTTGTTATGTTATGTTTTGTGAAGAGACGTGTCACCTGAGTTTCTCCAAGGTGCTCTTCTTATTGTTGAAGAGGAGCCGCAGCAGAGCCTTCCTCTTAATGAAGATGATGAGGGTGGTGACCAGCAGGCTGATCAGGGTCACCAGGATTGCCACAGTAATGACCACACTATCAGCTGATGCCATATACGACAACACGCACATTAATACACACACACGCACATCTACAGCACAGAATGACAGGACATGAGGCAGAGACCGTTACAGTTAGGACACGGTCAGCAGCACAGTGTGTAAATCACATTTCTCTGTAATTCACTCAACTCAAAACTCAATTAACTTCTCATTTTAAGCTACAGACTGAACACAATGTCATGTATTTCTGCATGGATGTTGTTCTACAAAAGTTACACTCCTTATCCATCTAGAAGTGACTCTCCAAGAAAGAGATGTCTACATGTAATGAGAAGATGGAAATGAAGTCGTGCACGCTACCTGCCACTCTCATCGGGCCGCTGTCGATGCTCCCACCGAAGCCGCCGTTGTCGCAGAACGGAGGCGCCCAGTGTGCTTCACAGTGACAGTTCATCTTGTTGTTGCACACCTGCAAACACGGGAGTTGTACCATATATAACATGAAATATTGATACTCCCTTTCTCCTGCATAAAATAGTACTTAGAGGCACTTGTATTCCTACCAGCTAAACTCCAGATTTAAATGATGTATGGGTGCATCCAGAAATAACAAGATGAAACCTGATTTGGTTTATTTTTCATACATAAACCTCTCTCATTCGGTTAGTCAAAGTGACTTTTTAATATGAGAGGACACTGGGTCCGCGTGTGTGTGTGTACTGAGAGTCATAATAGATAAAACATGTGCATGGGAGAGTCCATCCCGTAAAGCCTCAGGATTCCTGTGCACAAGTTTGATTCAGGAGGATTCCCTGGCGAGGTAACGCAGTCCAGCTGTCAGTGTGGAGGGAGGAGAGAGGGATGAAGGGAGGGAGGAGAGAGGGAGTTGTGCAGATGTGGGATTTACATTAAACACAGGCGTGCAGTCAAGTGCCTTCCCTGCCTCCAGGCGACGGACACTTCTTCACACCGGGGCTAAGAGGCACTTGGGGGGGCTTAAAGAGATGTTTTTATTTGGTGTATTAAGAGAAATGTGACAACAGCAAAGCAAATCTCTTTATGTTGCTACAAGGAAATGATCTGTCTCTATTGAATTAAGACTCAAGACACTAACTGTAAAATGAGAGTGGGCACATATTTCTTTAAATTCCTGTTGAGCTTAAGATGCATATTAATAAAAAGTGTGCAGTGACGGTTCATCTCCACCGTACGCTCATTTGAAGAAGTACTTTCACTATGTCTGATGTAATAGTATGCATTCTTCAACAATTGTATTAGACGCACACACTGGCTCGTCACTTCCTGAACCTCTCAGTTTCTCATATCAGGAAAGATTGCACTTCACATGTGTATACTCATTTGTGTTGAAGATGTCTGTATGGGTATATAAGGTATAGAAAAGCAACACATATAGACACCAATGTACCTGGAAAAGTCAATACATGCAGGGCGAGATAAAGTGAGTTGTTTTGCAAGCGAACAATATTCTTTAAACTCCCAGAGTAAAATCAGATAATCACTGCGTTTCCAGTCAGGTCTCGTACTGTGGGGGGGTGTTTGGAGAAAATGGGAGACAAATTGATTTGGCAGATATGTCTGCAGGGGGGAACATGCAGCTCAAGTCTACACTCCTAATGGGAAACATTTCTCCATACTTTATTCTCTTGCAAAGTATTTTCAATGTGATTCTTTGTTATTGCAGTGAGAACGTCAACTGGCAGCTGTGTTGTTGAGAATAACAAGTTTATTTTTATATTGACTGACTAAATTGGAACAGAGGTGTTTGTTCATTAAAGTAAGAAACAAGAAAAAGTTGGGGAATACACACGTGTATATAATCTCTTTGCCGTATACGATCAGAGATAAGTGTGAGCTAAACTAGTCCCTGGTGGATTGTCGAATCTGTAAACTAAACATAAAGTCACCCCCTGTTGAATTATTGATATGAAAAACTAAGAGAGAAAGGTGAACATCTTCTTTACACTGCAACACAACTAGCAGTGTGTTCTCTTACTGCAATGCTGCACTGTTTTCCTCTCACTGTACAGGGGGAAGATGATGGACAACATCTTAAGTAGACCATAAATGATGCTGTTAAATGGGATTGATTTAACCTCAGTGGGACAATGAAGATTGATCGCACAGAATGGGAGCATCTGCCATAACTCACAGGCTGCACCGTAAATACACTGTTGCTCTGCTTCTGTATGCAGTCAAAGGGCGGTAAGACACTCTTAAGTCAATTGGTGGAAGTGACTAAATGAATACACACAGAGTCCTCCCAGAGCTGTTCAACATGCTACAGTGTATCATTTAACACTAAATATTGAACCAGCAGATCATTTGCACTCACCCCACGTCCATTGCACTTCCCAGAGCACTCGTGCACACCGAAGACACTGACATTCTGACACTGGCGATTCAGGCACACCTGTAAAGGGGAGAAATCATCAGGCATTTAGTGAGAGAGATAATAAGGTTTAATACAGAAGAAGATGTGTGTACAGTTGGATCACATCTGTCGTGTATGTGCACAGGTTTATTAGCAGGTGCATGATTTATACCTGCTCCATGTTCTCTACCGAATAGGAGAGTACAGTTGCTGATTGAGATGGAAAAATACTTTAAAAAAAAAAACTATAAACAATATTAAAAAATTGTGAAATTGCCGCACGTTTCACAACCTTTAATGCAGATCAAGAGGTGAAGAATCTATAAACACAATATAATGTGATTTCCCCGAAAACAAACAAGACTTCCATAATCAAGCTATTCCATCTCTTCTAATTGCCGCTGTGGTGTGGGCCATGTGCTGTGAACCGAATGGCCCGATTGTCATGGAAAATAGAAAACCTTTTTGAAAAGAACAAATGCCCGTGATGACAAAGACCCAGGCCAGCAACATTTCATGCTAATGTGTGGAGCTCAGTCACATGTTGCAGAGACAACAGACCCAAGCTAACATGGCAGACTGCCATATTGCACAGAAAGCCCAAAGGTCTTTTAGCTCCAAGGGCAAGCCCCTTGAGATAACTGAAAAGAGCGAGGACTTGTAGGACTCTGAGACAACACATTTTTGTTTCAGTCTGAAAATTGGTTATTTTTCTAGCATAACCCCGCTGCCATATTTGAACACCGTAGGCAGAGTGCTGGATGTTCATGAGCGAACTCCAGAGCTGCGAGGGGTGTTGCAAATGCAATCATCCAGCTGTGAGAACTACTGTATAAAGGAGAAGCCATGGGTATCTCTAAAGGAGCATGTGTCGACTGGATGGGCCTGGGCCAAGTGTCAAAACTTGCATCATATTTTCTGTGTTTCAGGAAATAGTGAGAAAGCATAATGTCATGCACAACTGGATAAGAACAAATCCCATCAGGGAGTACCAGAGGGGCTGGGGCGGGGAAGATTCCTCAGACACAGAGTTATAATTCTGTAAGTTAACTGCCTTGATGTGTATGGAGCTGAAGAACATTTTAACTAGTACCATAGGGACAAGTAAAGATGCGAGTAAACAATGCAAATAACTGTAAGAAATAGCACTTTTGTATTATTGAATTTCTGGACACCAAAATGTACTTTTGCGATAGAGGTCAATCAATCAATTTTTATTTATATAGCCCAATATCACAAATGTTACATTTGTCTCAGTGGACTTCACAGTTTGTACCGAATATCAGTATGACAATACGACACCCTCTGTCCTTAGACCCTCACATCGTACAAGGAAAAACTTCCAGAGAAAACCCCACAGTTTAAAGGGGAAAATGGGAGGTGCTTTAAAATGTAATGTTCATCCATTTACTTATTGATAAAGCGGCAGAGAAATGTGGTGACAATGCCCATATGAGCCGCATATTATATAAAGGAAGCAAGTGCTCCAGCCCAAACTCCTTTTCTGACTCCTTTGTGGTGAAAGAAAGCCCTGATTTCAACGCAGTGGTAAGAGAGATTTTGAGGGCAGCACAAAGTTGGGAGGCACACCTAATAAAATAATAGTGTTTCCCATACATTGATTTAATTGTGGCGGGCCGCCACAATTAAATATCGTCCGCCACAAATGGATCTCATAATCTCATTTGATCTCATTTTTTTTTCTTCTTCCTTTTCCTTTGGTGGTCTAATGGATAGTGAGGTGGGCTGATGATCGGAAGGTTGCGAGTTCAAATCCTGCCTGGAACACCACTACTAGTGTGCCCTTGAGTAAGGCACTTAGCCCTCAGTTACTCCAGGGAGAATGTCCCTGTAATTGGTCATTGTAAGTCGTTTTGGAATAAGGCGTCTGCTAAATGCCTGAATTGTAAATTATATTTTTGGGAGAATAAACCCCACAGATCCTCAACTCCGGTGTGTTTCACTCATTAACAACGCAACACAGAGCAACAAGAACGTTGTCTACAGTAGCCATGAACTCGCATGTATTATCTTATTTGAGGGGGGGTGGATGCGTGGACCACCCGAATAGGTTAAGGGGCCTTTGGCTTTTCTTGCCGGGGTGCCCCCACAAATAGAATCAAATTCTGTGGGAAACACTGAACTGGTTGCCATGACGGTCTTGTCCAGCCCTCAGCACGATGTCTATATATACGGATCAGTGGATTACCTCAGGAGTTAACTTTATTAGCCTCTCTGGCTCTGACTCGCCTCCTAACTGCAGTCCTCAGCACCCGAAGGAATACTACAGTAGTACAACACTAGGCTCACACAGTTGTCAGTCTTTTTGGGGTCTCTAGAGGACACATAATATAGCTCCATGCTGTGTTACAGGGCAATAAACAACAAGGGAACAGCTCATTCTAAAGCTATAGAAAGAACTTGTAAATTACAGTAGTGAATAATTAGAGAATAGCAAGCATGACCTTTAGAAGCAGCTTATACAGCACATTACTGTAGTATATACTACCTAAACTTTCATTTAGTTTTATAAACACTTGTGCATGGTTGAGACAGGAATACAAAAAAGACGGTATAACTTTAGATACACATATTCACCATCAACTAGTTGTTAATTAACATGCATATTAGAGCCAAACTACTAGCTTATTAGTAAACATATTCTGAGTTAGAAATACCTAATTTTAAGTTATTTTGACACAATTAACACTTGTAGTTTCATGTCTTGTTACATAAGAATAGACCATATTTGTTAGGTGTTATTATGGGAGAATGACTATTGTTGTGGTACTACTGCCTTATTAGGCCCATATTGAGCATATTAAGACCAGAACTCATGTACAACAACATCATTACTTACAATAAATAAGCACTAACTGGAGGGTTATTAAAGGTGGGGTAGGTAAGTTTGAGAAACCGGCTCGAGATACACTTTTTGTTATATTCCATGGAATGCTCTTAACATCCCGATAGCAATGAATATCTTAAGTGCTTTGACAAAAAATTCATAAAAAAATGTCATCTGTGGAAGCCGTAATACTGTAAAAAGCACGGCCAATCATCTGAGCCGGCCCGGCTAAAATAACTGGATGGCCTACCTGCCTGTCAGCCTTCCATCTGTGCACAAACTTATCTCGTGTCCTCATTGGTCATGTGCGCGTTCGTGTGTGTTGGAGGAGGGGCTCTGTAAGGAAGTAGCAGATTTCTTTCCGGCTGTGTATTTTTAAATTCTAGCGCACTCAAGCTGGTTTCTCCAAAATGACCTACCCCACCTTTAAGGAAAAACTCTTAACTAATGGCCTAGTACTGGTAGAATGCCTCTGTAGAATTAAACTGATCACTCACCATGCCGTCTCCACACTTCGTGCCAGCCAGCACCAGCCCAGGGTCAGGCATGTCATCGCCCAGATACACATGCGTTCCTCGACACAGAATTCGGCCTCCTTCTTGTAGCGGGATATTTGTTTCAATAGAAACAGCATTTGTTCCGATCACTGGCCGGTTGGCTCCTCCCTGGCACTGAATCTTTCCACACTTTGCATCCCTAAATACAACACACAGAAACACATGCGTTGGCAAAAACATTAAAAGACACATAGTTAAACTGCTTAATCAATAAAGCATGAAGGCCTGTCAATCAAACACAAGGAGAAGTAAATGTAGAGACAGATGAAAGACTGCTGAAGAGAGCCGCAGTGCTTCAGTCCTACGGTCGTTAAAGCAATTACATCAATTAACAAAGAGCTTGAATACAGAATTCACCCAAAGGAATGAGATCTTTGGAACAATTATACTAAAAGAATAGCTTGAAATGATTCATGAATATTTTCATAGACTGTAATTAGCTGCCATCTTCCTCAAATGAAATGTTTTCACCCGTGTAAACTTTTGTTTGAAGATCACATGTCAGATTCCACCACATACTGAAGATTTCTAATGATACCACTTAGCTAATCAGTTTTGTTTTGCACAGTAATTTCTCTGTACCTCTACCACATCAGTGCAGCTGCAGAAACTTACCTCGCATCACATTTGGCAAAGGAGCCTTTGGAATCCTTCCCACAATTCCCGTAAGGATCTCCTGCAGAGTTGACTCGCTGGAAGCAAATCCCAGGGGCAGGTTTGGCTCCTTCGCACAAAGACAAACAAGCAAAATGCTAAACATAACGACCAAATTGAAGTGAAAGATTTTCCTAATGACAGTAAAGAGGATGTACACAAGTGATCAGGAGCCATTTGTCTACCTGGTCCCCACAGGGTGATGCATTGCTGCTCATGCGTCTGGCAGATGCCGTTGTAGCAGTAGCCTTCAACGCTGTAGCAGGCGTGCCCGTCATGCAGATAGACGTTGGCTGGACAGTGAGGGTTGGCACCGGTACAGAACTCTGGCAGGTCACAGGAGTTACTGGACTCTCGACACATGGTGCCAGCCGGTTTCAGCTGTGAACGCATACGGTCCAGCACAGTGAGCCATTTCAGGAATAGTGTATGCAGAATTGATGACCATCTATCTGTTAAAGTCAATGCTTTTGGTGAAATGTTCAGTGTTTTTGACATATTTAAAGCATCAGGTTTTACTAGGCCCATTCTCTTTGGGTTAGCACTGCAGTTGTCTTCACATTTTTCCTTGACCTCATGATGATTTCCATTTAGGTAGGACAAATTGGTTAGTAAAAAACACTCCACAAAGCACAGTTGAGGCTAATTGGACAAATTATAAATTTGCACCTGACTATTGCTTTACATGGAAAGGTCCTCGTGCCACAGAGGTGAAAAAACACTTTTTAAAAAACGTATTAAAACAATTTCCTCCACAATTAAAGTTAACAAAGAGCGTCTAACGCAGAAGAACATTTAATATAAAGGATCTGTCCAGGTTACAAACGAGAAAAGGGCCTGGAGGTTTCATTCAATTCTGAGAATGAATGTAAAAGGTACTATTATGTCCAAAATAAGCAATACATAGATCTGCAGAAAAAAACACCAAGGAAATGGGGCTATAGTGTAAAGTAGAACATCTTTTTAATATTGTATTCTTTGTTATGATTTAAAATGTGTTTCAATGTAAAGCAAAAACAAGGACTTATTTGGAGACATGTTCGAGGACATAATGAAAAGACTAAATGTGACCTGCTCCATCGAAATCAGTCGCATTGACTGATTGATTATTAGCGGAGCAAATGATCAAAATACTACGGAGGGAAGATATTTTCGTTTGGATTACTGGTCTGGGGGAAGCTCGCGAGTGTGTGTGTGTGTGTATACGTGTGTGTGTGTTTGTGTAATTTTGCGTTTGTGTGTGTATTGTGTTTGTTTCCCGGGGAAAACACTCACGAGAAACACCGGCTGTTGTTATGCCTGCTGTGACGTCAAGTTACTCCGTTCTCCGCTTGTAATTATGCCGTTACAAGCTTCAAAGTTGTATTTATCATCTGAATTTGCCGAAACAAGTTTAATATTCTGAAAGCCAAGACTTTGTTTATTTGAAATCAGATGAAAACAAAATGTAACGGACCCTGCCGTGTTATCTATGATTACTATACGCCTTACATTCATCATTTCAGCTGAAGGGAGGGGAAGCAGCACTGCGGAAGAGCAGGGTGTGCGAGTGAGAGGTGCCTGTCATCTTCCCTTTACAAGCTTCAAAAATATATTTATCGTGTGATTTGGGAAATAAAAGTGTAATATTCTGAAAGCCAAGACTTTGTTTATTTAAAATCAAACAAAACTATTTTTTTTTACGCAAATCCACGTTTATTTTGAAATGAGCCGTTGCGACCTCCGACTGATTTCGATAGAGCGGGTCACAAATGTAATTAATTAACCTCAAACAAATGTTCCTTTTCAATGAGACAACACACATCTAAAGTACTCAGTAAAAAGATGTTCATGTCAAAGTGAAAAACCACGGATAACTTTCCGCTTTTCAACTTGAGAACTTATCCATAACTGAAATCAGCCTTGAGGTAAAATATACAAAGATGGAATGAACTAAATTATACACAAGGGCACACTATTATGAGTCTCCTAATAACCTAGAAGAAAGAATTAAAAGAGGAAGTTTTGAGTCTTGGCACTTGAGTTCTGAATTGAAAAATGTTCATCTCCGCAGAGTATTGCTTTTTGTAATGCTCATAGAAGCAGTGAAAATGCAATTTCAGAACCTTTACAGCTATGAGAATGGCAGGAAGATTTTTTAAATGTGAAAAGGGGGTCCAAAGTAGAAGGGTGAATGCATAAGATGACCTGAGTGAGAACTCTTACCCTGCAGTCTTCACAGCACTGTCCGTGGGCGCACACGGCGTCTCCCTTGAGGGTGCACGTGGTGGCGTTGCAGCATGGGTTCATACATTCCTGGGATTTGGGGAAGAAAACAAAACGTTTTAAAATCATGTGGACGTGATCTTTGTTCTCTCAGCTGCTCCCAGTCAGATCAAGACTTCCAGGTCAGGGGGGCGGACTTCCTGTCGGGGGATTCCCACTTCTCTGACCTGGAGAACTTTGAATGGATGTATCACATGTATTAACTCAAACTCATATGTTCTTGATTTGGGAATGGTGTGTTTGACAGGATGACCTGGGTGGGGTCAAAACGTGGGTGAGGTGAAACAAGAGATATAAGAAGCAGTTGGGAGGGTGTGTGTTTAGATCTTCAACTGAGATTTGATGTATATAGTGGAATAATAGACTATTGGGCTATCATGGAAAGGAGCAGGAGTGGATCGTGAGCTTTTAAGAGGCGGAGATTGTAGCCACTTCACCACAATGACAGGATCAGAGTGCTGCCGGCAGAAACCGACAACAAGAAGAGAGAGGAGACATGAGGGGAAGTGGAAAGAGAAGTAATGCTGTAAAGACTTCAGGGACGGTGTTGCAATGTTAATCTTCTATTGAATGCCAAGACACATCAGCTTTGTTTTCCAAGTAGTGTCACGCATCGCACGCAGGAAACAACTCCCACTATCGTTTATCCCTTCTCAACGTGGCTGTTTCGCTTGTGGGGCTCCAAGGTAAAGAACAGATTTGATGAGGTCTGGGAACTGGAGGCAGCCGGCTTGTCGGACGTCTAATTTTCAGTTGATGTGCGGTTTTACGAGTCTGGCTGTTTACTTCATGGCCCTGATGTAAGCCTATTGTTTAGAGAGGGGAGAAACGGTGGCTTTCATCTCTTGGTCTATGTGGGCCAGCGGATAAAAACAAGCAGGCCCTTTGTGGTGACATCATGGAGGGGCAAACTGGCTGAGATGGAGTTAACAAATGTAAATCATACAGTTTGTTCGTTGGTGGTAAAACACCATGACTCCACTAAAACACTACCTACAGTTGCCTGTAAATAAATAAGTGCTTAGTCGCAACACCAAAGAAGCAAACACGCATTTTAAAGAGTTGGATCAGCAAAATTACGAACTTAAGTACCCATTTAAAACATGTATTCTTTTCAATAAACAAAGCTGTCTTTAATCCTGGTTAGGGATCACATGTCGAGCTCTGATGTTAACAGATGCATTATGAAGCCTTCTCTCTTTTCTCCTCAATAGATATAATGTTAGCGGGCTCATTATAGCCGGCACTTACCGTTAAAGAACACATACAAAGATAGTTTCTTGAGGAAAGAGACATCACTCTGTAACACCAAAATGTGTTTATCAAATACATATTGTAAGTTAACCCACATTATTACCTCCAGTATTCGAAGTATACAGCTTGTAGAGAATACGTTGTAAAATCGATCAGGCTATTTCAATTGATCAGACAGATATTTTATTATTTAATATCTTAAGCTGACCTTATTTTTAAGATTGAAGATACAGGTTGTGAATATTAATCAGACTGTCATTAGCATGAGGTTTGTCTGATCTGAATACTTCAGTTATTTATAATATCAGTTTCATGAAATTGTTAAAATCCAAACTTAATTATATATAAAGAACTTAGAAATGATTCAGATTTAGCAAGATAATGCAATTGGGCATTTTGAACATGTGTCAAACATACATTTGAAGGGACATTGTTTCATTAGATTACATTACATTGCATTTAGCTGACGCTTTTATCCAAAGCGACTTACAATAAGTGCATTCGACCAAGAAGATACAAACTTGAAGAAAACAGAATCATATAAGTACATCAGGTTTAATAGAGCCAAAACATTTCAAGTGCTACTCAACTGGCTTTAGATAAGCCAGTCCTTTGTTAGTATATAAGTGCTTTGTTAGTATATAAGTGCTTTGTTAGTATATAAGTGCTTTGTTAGTATATGAGTGCTTTGTTAGTATATAAGTGCTTTGTTAGTATATAAGTGCTTAGTTAGTATATGAGTGCTTAGTTAGTATATAAGTGCTTTGTTAGTATATTAGTGCTTAGTTAGTATATAAGTGTTTTATTTTTATTTTTTTTGTTTCACCACCTTACATTCTCCAGCAAAACCTTGAGATATTTTAAAGAATAAATATAAATGTATATTTATCATCAAATCACCACATTGCTGAAACTGAGTAATACCTGCTTCCCACATATGACTCTAAGTTCACTTCCCATGGTGCCTTGCAGTGTGTGTGAGGCAGAAACACATGCATCATACATGCCTTTGCAAAGCCAAAGAAAGCTTATTTCAGCTTTGTTTGTTTCCTTTGCCGCAGTTGGACAGTGGTTTGATTAATGGGCCTTCACCCAGGACATGAAGTCCTCCTGGCAGCCTGTCAGGGCACCGCTCAGCACATGTGGGACACAAATAACTACATGTGATGTAAATAAAACACTTATATCGGAGGCCTCGGGTGATTTGCTCAGCTTTTAGTCTTTAAAAAAAAAAAAAGTGGGTTCCGATGCTTTTAAGCCCCAAACACAACGTCAATATCAACAGAAAGTTTGACCTGATATTTGTTGTGTTCGGTCGGGGGGTCTGAGGGAGCTGTCTAGACTTTCAGTGTTCTGGATGATTGCTTACAGAACTGTTATTTTCTTTGCACCATAGTCTTTGTAAAGGGAGTATAAAGTCAGGGAAGCATGTGGTACCAGTATTTCCCTTGTGTTTAAGTATTCATATATTTGAATGGGCAGTTTACTATAAGTAGACATGAAAATCAGGGCTGACATTTTTGGGAAAAGACCACCTATGGAATCTTTCAGTATCACATTAACAACACTTCTTAAATCACCAAAGAGTAGAATATTGATCGACTCCACTAAAGCAAGTCAGGACAAAGATGTCTGGTCTCCATCTTACCTCCGGCTCCCCACAGTCGCACTCTTCTCCCTCCTCCACGTAGCCGTTGCCACACTTTTGTCCACCGTAGAGGACCTTGACCTCGGGCATGTTGTCCAGACACATGCCCACGCCTTTCTCCAGACTGGCAGCAAGGTCTTTCTTACTGCATGTACTGAACACCGTTGGAAAAGGATGCCTACAAGAAAAATGGAAAAACAAAGTTGACAGAAATGAAGAGACATGGCTTTAATGTCTTTATGGATTTCATGACATATAAATGTCACAGATTTGCCCTAGACACAGAAGGATTACTAGCTAAATGATCTGTAATAAAAGTGGATTCAAGCGTTCAGCTGAGCCAGTACATGAGCAGAGCTTCCACTGGTTCCTTTGTTCAATATTAGTATTTAATAGGGCTTTTCACACAAATGTAATGGTCTACTGACATTGTACAGTATAAGCTCCGGGTCAATAGATTTTCAATCCTACTCAATTCATAAACGGGACATCAAATATATCAGTTACATTTTCAAGAGGCACATCCTGGCAGCACTGGGACAATTTAAGCAGCTGACTGGAGGGAAGCGTGTGAGGAGGCGTTTGTTGGACGTGGATCACTTGTGTGTGTGTGTGTGCGAGCACATGTGTGTAGGTGGAACATTGATAAAAAAGCAAGACTGAAACCACATCATTTCTAACATATTAATTTCCCTCCCTGGTATCGCTTACCTGAAGGGCTGACTAATGTCTAATTTAGTGAGGAAAGAAATGGATTTGGTATTGAAAATGGGAAAATGTTATGACTTTTAAAGATGAAACTGTGTGATAGGCCAATAACAGCTGTGAAGCCCGGGGGAATGGCCCTCCTGCTCGAGTGAGCTTCTGCAAGTCTAGGAACCAAGGACCAGAAATAAATAGGCAGAGAGATGGAGAGAAAAACACAAATAATATGGAGATGTCTCGGAGAAAAGAACAGAATAATACAGAGTGGGGACAGGAACAGAGGAAGAGACTGAGGCATGAGCAAAGGGGTGGAAAAGCATCTATGCAGAAAAAATATAAGGAATAGAATCATAAATAGGAAAAAAACATTTCAGATATTGTGTTGCTTAACCAGACGGAAGAAAAATGAAAAAAATATATAGAAAAACACCTTTTTTATAGCAGTTTTTATTCAAATTATTTCTAAGAAAGTGGTTGATTTGGGTTCATTCGAGCACACTGAATGAACAATGTAACTTTTAAAACCTTTGCTTAACCCTCTGAGGACTTTGTCTCAAAATCGAATGAATATTTTGTATGACATTTTTTTATATGTTATATACTGTTTGCCCATTTTGTTTGCTTTTAAAAAGGTTTTTATTGTACTGTATTGGACTCGATTGTTTTGGCATTGCCTTTAACACTAAGCACAACACACTGGAGGTATAATAAAAAAAGCCACAGGACATACTCAACTACAACACAGAGTAAAATAGGAATTCAACCATCTCTCTACCTTGTGCTTCATGCCGGCTAAGTAAAAAGCAGCATCACAAAGGAACTGACACAGAAAGCAGGCTTTAGGGGTGTAAAATGAGTATCTCACAGCTACCACAGCCATAATGGGACTGAGCTTAGTTTCAAAAGGAGGATGTGGGGTGTTAGACAGCTATGGCTGGTGTTGGCAGACATGGCACAGCGAGAGGCGGCTGGCATCTGATACTTGAAAAGCTCGACTTCAGACAGAAATATGTCATACACGTACTTATGCAGCAAAAGACCAACTGGGGTCCTGAAACGCAACAGGGCGTGGAGACTGTCTGCAGAGCTCACGGCTTGACAAGGCAGATTTGTGAAAACTCAACATTACACAGAATATGTTATGTGGAGCCTGTCGTTGGACAGAGGGGAACATTAGTGTGTGATGCTTTGCCTTTGCCTAAGGGGGATTTGGCTGATGTAACTGCATGGTTATTTCACTGTTGTTAGTTGACTATAGTGAAGCTTCTCCAGAGGGGACTGGAGATAACGTTAGAGGCATTTAATGCAAAGACATCAGCTTTTTCCCAACAAGAACACATATATCCAGAGAATATTTAACACAGAAAACATCCTCTTCTAACGCCCACCCTGGGGTGAAAGTGTTGGGTCTTCACTCACACCTTTATGTGTCAGATGCTTTCATCTGTCACTGACCAAAAGCCAATCCACCTGCCCTCGTCTGCTCCTTTAATCCTCCTCTTTGGGTTTTTGACCACCGTTACACAAACAGAATAAGAGCTTTGCTACCCTGTGCGTTGACACCCATGCAGAAAAAGTCCCTTGCAAATAGCATGGGCTGTCACTGATAACAAAACACAGGCATGCTTTGGGATCTGCATGAAGGGCTGAAATGTGTATAAGGGGCAAAGTCTGTTCTCAATAAACTGGCATTAATGTTAAAAGTTCTGTGGAGATTTCTTTACTGAGAGAAATGTGGTTTCTTTAGACCAAAGTAGACCCAAATGGAAAGTCTTATGATGATACATAAGATAAATGTATGTTAAAATCAACAGATTATCCCAAAGCACTCTTGCTTTGGGATAACTCATTTTTGTGGACTGTAAACTGATTGATCTTCAAAAACACTGACCTTCTCTGACAAAAACACACTTTATCTTCAGGGTTAACCTTTCTCAGCATATGTTAACTATCAATTATATATTGTATTGTACAGCCCTCCTATTGGTTCCATGATTTAAAAATAACAACAATATATACTGGTAAATGCCAAGGTCGAGTGAAGCCGAGACACAAAACCAAAAAAGTAATGCAACATTACTGATTGGATTTTGAACGAGGGTAATGACATTTAAAGCCAATTAAACGCGGCTATCTACAAGTTAGCCATTAGGACGTGCTCTGTCATTTATATGCTTGACGATTTCAAACAGAGGGCACCTCGAGCGGCCGCGGCGAGAGCCAGGAAATCCTTCCAAATGATCTATGTTTAAATAATGTCCAATGTGGCCAGTTACTGTGTATGAACAGGGCTTTGATAATTGCAGCTGACATCCCTCCGGGTAACAGGTGCCCGCTCCATCCTGGTAATACATTCAGTGTCTGCCTCATAAGGTGTCCAGGGATGATACAGGAATATGTTGCTTCTCCATCACTCGCTGCCTAGTGCAGGTTTTTATGAGAATGAGCAGATACGACGACGAGAGGCTAACTGTCCTGAAACTGGTGAGAACGAATGCTTTGCAAGTGTTTTTGTGCCATTTGCTGAATGGCTGTATCTTTTATTTGGAGGATATCAAATCAAATCAAATCAGGTTTTATTTATATAGCACATTTAAAAGCGATTTTTGGTCGAGCCAAAGTGCTGTACATGTAATAAAAACACATTACTACAATCACAATAAAAGACAATAAATGACAACAGATATATATAAAAAATAAAATAATATAGGATAGGAATACATTTAAATGAACAGGAAAAGACAATATTGAATAAGAGTTAATTACGTATGCAATGCAGATGCTGAGTATGGAAGAATGGGGAATGCTTAAGAGCAATAAGCAATGCGATTGTTAAACTGTGATATTTCATAAAACTGTCAAAACTGATCTTACCTTACCAGAAAGATGTGTCTTTAATCATTTTAAGAAACTCTTTTAGGGTCTTAAATGTTTATTTAATGTATGCATGCAGTTCAATTGTGAACCTTTTTTCTACACATAGATATATTTGATAAGTGCCGTATTTTAAAGCAAAACTTCTGACAAAATATATAGAAAAACCCCCAAAAACAACAACCATGTTCCCACCACCACGATAGGAAGTCACATTACAGCTAAAAACCCCACAGAGAGACACACAATAAATCAGAATAAAAAATGTAGAAAAAGCTCAAATGTACAGTGTCTTCATTAGACCCATAAAGAAGGTGTGTGTTATTACAGCTGAGACCACACAGCTGCTCCGCTGTTCAGGAAATGAACGGAGCACAGAGTGTAGGTTTCCCTGGATAATATTAGCATAAAGCCCCGCTCCCTTCCCAGGTGAAGTTTGCTGGGTTGGAACAAATTTCCCTGCACACAACTGTTAAACTAAATCCAATTAGTCAGCTCCTTTCTGACTGTTAATAATGTTTGGAAGGCAAATATGTCGTTCACACTGAATAAAACACTGTTCATCATAATCTCATGTATGCTTTACAGCTTTAAACATCTGTTATACTGTACTGTAAAACGTTTTTTTAATTATCATTTATACTTTCCTAAGACAACATGAAATAACCTTAGTTTGTGGGCAAAAAGACTCCACAGGTTCCCTTTAACCCACACCCCTTTTTTGAAAGTCAACAGACATGGCAACACCGGAGGGGGCAAATACCTGTTTTTCTTGCCTCTTCAAACATTACTGAACGCAATTTGGAACATAAATAATTACCTTTTTCTTTATGGCCAGTAAGAAAGCAGAGCAGATCAAGTTAGATGTATGAACGCACATATTTCCTCTGATGGTATTGTTTTGGAAATCCATTAGCACCCAGAAATAAAACACACAAAGCTTTTAAAGAGTTTAAGCAATGATATAATGAAGTAATATAATGCTCATTACATTCCGTAGTTGTGGATGATTTACCTCAAAACAGAAATTAGGGAAGAATGAACAATCTCTCAAATGAGTTAGAGAAGTAATTCAGTATGTTTACTAAAAACAAAGCTCTAATTGTTTCTGTAGATTGGATGTTTAGTTGGCATTAGGTTCTCCACCAACCATAACAAAGGTTCTGTTTGCATTTAGTGTGAATCAAAGCTTGCAGTCTCTTTCTTCCCTGTCTTTGTGGGTGCTTCATCTTGGCACACACACTTTGATTTTGACACTAAATGTACTGTGGACAACTCTAAATCGGATTTTGACAAAAAGTAGAACTGTGGACAGGAATCCTTGAAATAAACAAAACGATTGAAAAGCAGAAGAAATAACTCGAGCCGTGGAACATATAACCTGTTAGCACACAGTGAAATTGGCTGCTAATAAAGAGTTTAAAGGAAGCTCAAGACTCACCCTGCCTCCTACAGTACATGCCCCCATCTTCTAAATCCTAAACCGCCTGTTTGTCATTCAGCCTTCCTGTAAAAAAGAATCTACCAAAGCCCTCACATTATACAGAGATACAGTCTCTTGTGTGCCAAGGAGCTTTGCCCAGATCTAGAGCCATATTTGCAGTACAGATGATTCCCGTCAGTTTGATCATCTCTACACGTGAGGCCAGAGGGTTCAGAGGAGGAGGAGGAACACACACATTGGTCACATGAGGGCTCTTCTATTTGCAGTCTCTCTGACTGACATCAAGCTGTCTCTACCGCTCTCTAAGCTGCTCTACTGACTGACATGCATTTAGTCCAAGCTAAGCAGGAGAGACATGTCTGACCTTTTGGTAAATGTTAGGCTGCAACACTGGCAGGAGCCTTTGGTGATTAAATATGATGAAGCAAAACACAAGCTTAATTTACTGAGAACATTTACCCACCAGCAAGCTAGCTATCTGTTTTCCTCCTCTCCTCTGCAGAATGTCTTCAGATAATGACATTATGTACCTTTTCACCTCAATTGCACTGTCAATTCGGCAAAGGAAAAACAACAAACGCAAGCTATTTCATACTGTGTTGACAAACAATTCACCTCCTTGGCCTCAAGGTCCATCCCCGGCTCCCTGCTGGGCTTCACCTCTCTCCCAGGTAACACGTATAAACACAAGAAAATACGTTTGAGCTTTCTCCCCACGTTCACCTGACGCAACTCTTAGCTCAACTTCTAAAAGACATCCCCACTTCAAAATGTCCAACTTTGTTTCCCTCATCCATCCCTCAAATGTTCATGCTTTGTAATGACACAAATCTCTCGTGGCCATACTTCAGGTTTGTACGCCTTCCAGAGACGTCCGTGTGTACGCAAACAATTACTTCATTGTCATCTTCCTGTTTGTCTCCTACCTCAACCTCCTTGTGTTTCTCCCTCTGCTTTACTACTGAAGGGGATACAAGAGAAAATAAGGAGTGCTTCCTTGCTCCGCATGTGTATCCAGGCATAAATCCCCTCTCTGCGGATCCCTCTCCGTGCGCCCTGGCTTTGATTGCAGCTGGCAGCGTCACTGATAATCTCGTCATTTAGATGCAACCTGTCCTCTCCTCCATTAGCAAGTCTAAGATGGGAATATTCCAAACGCATAGTCAAAGATGTGTTTTATCATTCAGGAGGCATCTTGGCATAGGGTCAGAGGAGGTTGCTAGTATATATAAAAAATGAACTATACTGTGATGAGAAAATGAGTTCTAGATAGGTTTGTACATTTTTGGGATTTATCAACAGGAAACGGTGAAGTCGGGCAGACAGTTCAGGAAATTCAATTAGGGAGATAACCAGCTGAAGTGAACTTGGGTAAAGTCATTTTAATCTTTCAAGCTGGCTCATGCACTGTGGGGAGATATTTTTCCATGACAAACTTCTGATATCATCTAGACAACAACATTGTCTAGACAACACAGTGGATATCAAACATCAAAACAAACACATGCACGATCATTATTATAAAAGCAATATAAGTTTAACTTTTGGAAGAGGTAAAATTATCACAATATTGCAAAGCATTATGGGAAGAATGGCCTGGTTTTATGCATCAGGCATATCCAGAGCGACGTAACCACTCATTTGCAGTTGTGATTGGGGCCAACTGACAAATGTAAGTCCAATATTCACTTTTCTTTAAACTCTGTTTTTATCTTAACCGACTCATGAAGTAATTATCCTTCTCTTTAGCTGTGTAATGCTCTAATTGCCTGTTGGTGATGAACAGGTGCCAGCTTTTTTTAAGGAAAACAGGTGCCTGAAATAATGAAAGCTGTTATGGAGCGCTAAAGCTAAATAATCAGCAGAGACGCTTAAATAGTTCATAGATTCACGGTCCAACATGTTGCCAAAGGACTAAAGTCAAACATTAGCAGCTAGCTAACAACACATTTTACAAAAAACTATATTTAATATATTACACATATTCTTTAAACAAAATGTGTCAATAAGATAATCTAGTTGGCACACCTGGAAGCTGTGATCCTATATACGATTGCTTTCTTTGTATCATGTTGATTCTTTATATAGTGATTGTATTATGTTGGTTATTATTTACACACAACATCTATTGCATCTATGTTCATTTGCTCTTCCTGAGGTTTCTTTCATGTTTTCCTTAGAAACTTTTTCTCATCAGTTTTGAGGGTCTAAGGACACAGAGAGTTGTATGCCTTACTGATTGAAAAGCACCCCGAGGCAAACTAGATTTGTAATATTGGGATATATAAAATAAATTGACTCGACTAGGATTCTTTGAAAGATCAACCCCATCATAAAAGTCAATGAGTGCCAACTTTCAGCAAGCAATGGTCGATGCACAGATAAAATATTGATAATTAAACAGGGGAATATTGATACTAGGAGAAGGAGAACATTGCCAGGGAAAATGTCAGCATCCCACTGTGTATTGAATTCAAACTTTACTGAGCAAATGGAGGAGCGAGTTTCAGAAAGTAAAGGTCGTCTCTCTCAACTTTTAATGTGTCTGATCTGATAATTAGATTGCAGTATGCACTGGGCTTTGTAAACAAACTCTGGTGTAAATAATTTAATAACAAGGTGACTAATTTCCACCCATTTAGATCATGTAGTTCATTATCATTTAAAATCTTTGAGCAGTCATCATGTCATTACGCTGAGTGCATATGTAAAAACCACAGTGCATAAATCCAGTGGTGTTATTTGCTGAAATAAATGTTGTATTAGGAGACGAGCAGGATGAGCTCACTGTTGCCAGCGGCTGCACTGACATGCACTCTTTTAGAAAGCCCCTCCCCTCCCTCTTTTCTATTTGTGTAGTAAAAGGTTATTCAAGTTTTTCTGGGACATAGTAAGATACATTATTTATGTGTTTCTCTGTGCAATATGTGGCTTTTTTGAAGGATTACCTCATAGACCACTCATGGTTTTCTTCTTCTGTGTCTCTGCTGATTTCTTTACATAATTGAAGCCTATATCTCCTTTGAATTTCAAAGTTTAATGATAATAGTCACAGCGTGTGTTACTTAACTCAAAGGAACATTGATTGTAGTGTACCTGCTCAATGTGATGAACTCAAGCAAAGCCTCTCAGACCTATAAAGTGTCATTCTGACTACAAATACCTGTGTTTACCTTTTTTAGCATTTCTATACATTTGCCCTCTTGTGTTATTATGTCTTTCATCCATGCATCTTAGAAGTGGGGGACACATTTAGACTAGGGATAATGTTGTTTTTTGTGTGGTGGGTGGGCCATTGAGAGAAGTTTCGTTGATTTGTATTTTAAAAACTCAATAAAATATTTGAACAACAACAGTCCTCGTCTTCCTCGCAGTGTTGTGGAGTTTATCCTGACCACATTTGTCTGCGGCTTGGGGGACTCACCATCAGACGAACTAGACTGGCACCGGACCAAGAGTGAAATCTGGTATTGCACTCTGGGTGCTCCTTATCTGTTTGCTGTTTACTAACATTCACAGAGTCCATCACTCGCAGCAGCAGTGTTATCTCAGCAACCCAGGCAACACAAGTGGAATTCAAAAGCAGCTGCTTTAGTCTCAGGCCAAACTGTCTGTGTCTGTGTGTGTGTGTGTGATTCATCTCAAACAACAACACATCAACAATGAAGTGTGATCCAACCTGTGCAGCTCACTGTGGGAGATTTAATCACTTGTTTTTGACTATTCAAGCGAAACAGAAAATTAATAGAATGTTGGACTGATAAACATTTTAATCCAGAAGCTGTGCGAAGCAAGGTTTTAAAAGGGTAATTGGTGCTAAATCAGTGCACCCACACACAGACAAACAGCCTAAATCCCTGACTGTAAACCTGTCTGAAATATGACAGTGTGTGGCAAAGGACATTTAATACGATTTTTGCAACAGATTACATCTATCTCAACAAGTCCAGCAGCAAAACATGTGTCGTCCATTTTGGTTGTAAAGCCTAATAATCATAGATCTTACTCAAAAGGAATCAAAGCTATACATTTGTTAAGAAAAGGATCACCAAAAGTCCTCACCCTGTGGAGGGGGTCATGATGCAGCCCCCGCGGTCAACGGTCATCCTGCAGCCACAGCCGCGCTCTGGCGTGTCGTGGTTCATCCCAAAATTGTGTCCAAGCTCGTGTGCCAAAGTCACGGCTGCACCCAGCGGGTTCTCAGAGTGATCCTGCAGTGGGAAAAAAACAGACACCCCACAACATGAGAACGTTTTTACTTATGTGTAATTGTGTATGTTTGACTGTGCTTGGAGTAAAAACCGAAGTGCACCGTCACTCAAGAAAAAAAGAGGGAAGTGAAGTGACTGTTCGAGGAAGACCATTTTCAAGCTGAAGATTACCCAAACAGTTCAGTAACTGTAAGATCTGCCCCCTCACCCTTCTTCTATTACTTATTCTGCTCATGGAGGCCTGAATTCATCTGCGACTCCATCACCCCTGCAGACCCAATCATAGCCGCCGCTAGTGAAGACAGCTACAGTACTGCAGTAAGCTCCATAAACCTAGCGCTGCATGACTGGCTGCTGCATGGATAAGCGGGAACACTGCCCTTCACGAGGCAGACAGAGACAGAGAATGGCATTTGAATGGGTGACTGAGCAATAAAGTCAATGTAGTTCTGTAAATAATGTATGTATGCCAAGGTGAGACAGGTGGAGATTAATGACACACTGACAGTATCCTATCCAGTTCCAAAGGTGTTGTCTTGATGTAATGATCTTTCTGCGTCATTAAGCTTAATTCTGCAGTTTGAACTAATTCAATTACGTGAATTAATTAAGAGGTACACACAGTTGTTGTTAAAGTTTTAGGACATTCGATGTACTTCATGTAATGCAAAACAGTGTTTAATAGACCTAAATCAATCTTTTCCCACATTGATAGCGGAAAAGTTTGACAATTTAGATTAGAAGATCAGTACCAATCATATGTATACACGGTACATATAAACATGGAGTAGTTGATTATTTTAATCAATGCATTGACTTTGAATGTTTTTTGTCTCAGGTTTGCAACCCAGAGAAGCATCTTCCAGCCTTAAGTTAAAACAGATGATACTGTATAATTGTGTTAGTCATATATTTAACAAAGCTGATTATGACAATGATGAACCATGGCTAGATCAACATCTATCAAGGAGACAGTCGCAGGAGAGCAAAATCACATTTTCCATTGAGACAAGTCTTCAGCACCATCCTCCGATCTTGAAAAAATACTCTCCAGTTCTTATTTGTCCTTCAACCCTTTGGTTCTAACAGAATTTCCTCACTTGACAAGATGGATATCCGTGTGATGTTATCCAGCTGCCGTGTAAGGTGAACAAAGTCCCCAGCCCCCATTTGAACATTTGCATGATTCAGCTTTTCAAATCTGGCAACCCCTTAGAAATAGGTCACCCACGTAGCTACTGTATATATCTCACTGTGGTATTCAAATGTTCTCAATATGAGAAATGTACATGTGGAAATCACATGTTTCCTTTGAAGGAAGGGTCATGTGTCAAAGTTGAGGGCAAGCAAATCTATTTACTGCTCTGATTACAGAGCAGCATGATGTGGAGCTGCACCCCGCCTTTTAACAAGAAGGATGGGAAAACTTTCCTTGGCTTCTGTCATGTTGATCAGTGTGTGCGTGTGCGTGTGCGCGCGTGTGTGTGTGTGTGTGTGTGAGCAATTCATAGTTGAGTGCTTCCACACAAAAAAGTGTGGTATCAGCAAAAATGGATGAAACTCTTGGAAGTGAATTCTTTGAAGGCACTCTGAGCTATCGTTGTGATGGTGAGAATCCGATAGGGTTTGTTGCAAAAAGAATGCTCTGATAGTCTTTCTGATATCTTTTCTAGCAACTCCCTGAACAGCGCACCATATAAAGAACGTGATAGTGCCAGCTGCCACAGTTTAAACCTAACCATTCTCATATAAAGACTCTTGTGAGTTTAATGGAAAACAATAAATCACATTATGGTGTTTAAACTGAGAAAACATGTGGGCCAAATAAAAGATTTGAGGCTGATTAACACACATGGTTGTGTATGGTTGGAGAAATGGTTCATCTCATCTGGAAGCCCTCTAACTGGTTACAGTGCCCTTTAATCTCTGCCCAAACCATCTGCCATGTGTAAGTAATGGGGAAGACAAACATCTGGAGATGCCTTAGAGCAGCCACGGCCAGCAGAAAACATATCTATTAATGGGGGAAACACATCTGGGCTGGGGAGTAATAGCATTGGGCTAATTTCCACTTTGCGATTTGGCATATGTGTCAAGTGGAGGCAGTGGAACCCAACAGGCTCCTCAAGCTAATTTACTATGTGCAATTATTTAGTGTACCACGGGTTATGCACAGCTTTGTGTTTAGATACAATTAAAATCTGTGCACTAAGAGCTGGTATAAACAATTGATCACTTCTCATTAAAAGGCATATGTGGCTTTGTTTAAATGGGGTGGGGCGTATTATGCTAGATTTCAAGTTCATATTTGTATTCTGTGTCTCCACTGTGACATGTTCACATGCTTTAATGTTCAAAAAAAGTTATTTATTTGTCTCATACTGCCTGTTCTGCAGCACCTCTTTTCACCCTCTGTCTGAAACCAGAGCCCAGTCTGCTCTGATTGGTTAGCTGGCCAACTCTGTTGTGATTGGTCAACCGCTTCGAGATGCCCCGCCCCCTTAGCCTATCACGTATTATGTGGTGGAGCACTAGTCAATAGAAGTTGTCACTAGTGTTACATAGTGATGTAATTGTGTTATAGAACAAAGGAATCCAAACGTCCTCTGGAGGGAACTTTGGGATTTTAGCCTTTTCAAGGGAAAACCCCAAAAGACATGTATAAGGCCTCTTTAAACGTTGTTACAATTGATTTACCTCTGTGCCTCACCAAGCCTTTTAAAGATGCCACAGGGAAGCCTGATTGAATGATAGCAAGACTTCAGCTGACATTGAAAAGGGAGTGCTATCTGCAGTCCAATTCCTTTGTGTGCACGTGGGTGTTTGTGGTAAAAAACGAGGACATGAATGTTGACGGAGTGCCAACAAAAATATCATAATGTTTAAAATCACATCTTCCTGCCAGCAAACAACGAACACCTTTTCTGTGGAAATCATGTCTGGATTGTGTTAGCGTGCTGAATCGGAACAATGTCCACTCTGATAACATCTGGCTTCACAGAGGAAGAGCAGTGTGGGAGCAGCAAGGAGGTTTAATGCTCACCATGACAATGCCTCCAGACTGCTCAGCCGTGCACATGCTCATGATGGGCGCCATGCCAATGGTGGTGCCCTGGAAGTAAACCCCGCTGCAAGCGACAGAAGTAGGAAAAAGAAGAGATAACATTTTATTAGGAGAAAAGTGCTCAGGTCTTTATGGATATACAAGCTGTTAAGTGTTTGCATTTTGTGCATTTCTGCATTTGACCTCCAACATGGTCTCCCTTGTACCATTTTTTGCATCTTGCATCTTATTTTTGTATTTGTTATGCACTATCTATATTTATTTTTGTATTCAAGTATGTTGTTACCCACAAAGTGTCAATTAAATAATACAGCGGATTTTCCAATAATGATTCGAATCATTTTCAGGTTCAGATGTAGTGTATCGCCTTAGTTTGTCAATACAATAGTTTTAAAACAACGATAACAGGTGACAGCTAACAGGGTTCCATATAAACTACATTAATTCCAGAATGCTACAAGAATGAACTTTCAAAAACGTGATTTACATACTGTACAATAGTGAAATAAATGAATGGAACACAACGGGTGACTAGCTGTCAGTGTAATAATCCATGGTATCCTCTGGGAAATAGTCTGCACTAATGTAAAGAAAAAGCACATCTGTAGCTAATGACCCGGTAAGGATCTGTTTTCCTTTGTACCAATACGGTCTCTAGTTTTTGATTTCTTCATTTGAAATAAAAATCCACCTGATGAGCTGAGCGTTGTCGTGAGGTTTCTGGGGCAGCAGTTTGACTTTCCTCCAATCCAGGAACTCGTGCAGGGTGTTGAAGGGATCCTGGGTGACGGGGCATTTATCAGAGTCACTCCACACCTCCAGACCCACCAGGGCCACCCGGATGTTCAGGGCTCTGTAGAACTGTTAGCAGGGAGAGTCAGTGTGGATATAAGGCCAGGTGATGCTAACAGCTTAGATTTTCAAAAAGGAGTTTGAGGCACTGTTACTGTGGTTACTCAATATCGCTGCTATAAATGAATAATACGCATATGTGTGCATTAGTGAAAGCTTCTCTTTTCATGTTTTTCAAATTATCAGAGCACATCTTTTCCATGTCTCTATGCTCTCTCAAGTAAGTCCATTCGTCCCAAAGTGCCTGCTAGCCATAGAACTACATCTATGGCAGGTATTTTATACAGACTAAAAGCACCTGTTTTAATGGAACATTAATATCTCACCGTCATCCCATTAATCTCTTCTGCCAGCAGTATTTCTATTTCAGAAAGTGATTTATCCCCCCTGTGCAAAAGGAAGAGGATGTTGTACCTTGTCCACGTAATTGGCTATCTCTGCCAGTCTCTGTTTCACCTTCTCAACGTCCCTCCCCTGTTTCTGAAACTGAAATCAAAATAAAATGTAATCAGTGTTAGAAATTGAAACATTTGGAGCGAGAATTTGAGAAGAAAGCACCATGGATTATACCGTAATTACAGTCATTTTCACAACTAAAAAGCCTGAAAAAATACCAGCAAAAGGAAATATGTTTCTCTGAGTGTGAGGCAGCTTGTCAAGCTGTGACCATCTGGATCTAGAAAAATCTCCCAGTGTTAGAGAGACAAATGGCACGGCCGCAGGGAGCAGGTATATTGGCAGATCTGACAGCCTGCAAAGCTTTTGATCTAAAATGCAGACTTGCTGTTTCCACCTGCATTGGTGCTGGAGTCAGATCTTAACCGACAACCTACATAACCTACTTGATCCCTTTTTTTCCATTCAGGTCAGAGGCGTTGGCAGAGTGCAGCCAGGAGGAAACCCCACATTGAGCTCGTCAGTGCTTAGGGGAGACTCTTCTGTATCCACTAGGCTTTTTCCTGTTTCCTGTCTGGTCTGCTGGGGAATCTTTCAGCACTTCCTGTCAAAACGGAGCCTCTGCCACAAGACCACACTGACCTAATTCCACAGCCCCAATGGGACCTGCTCTAGTGTTTCTACAGCTTACCCTGCTTTTCTCTGCTTAAAGCGTGAAGGGTTGTGTGTTTGGTTGTTTTTGTGAATGGATATGGCAAGATAGGTGCATTACCTCTCTGTTGTCTGCAACAATGATCAGCTCAACGTACTTGGTTGTCTTCTGAGTATGCCTTTTATGCTGAGGTAAAAACAGAGATGCTGCAGGTTAGAAATGTTTTGATATTTTAAGAAAAGAAACACTGGCACACATTAGAAGCACAATTTACTATGTAGCACTTCCTGTGGGTTTACATTTAAAGGATTTTGATAAACCCTCTCAAGCCATGAGCTTTAGAAGATGGTAGTAGATATTTCCTTACGTTTTTCCCCCTGTTACCATTCTTCCTGCTAGCTAAGTTAAGCTAATGGCTGCTAGCTGTTGCTACATTTTGCACATTAGAGGGATATCAGCTATTTTATCTAATAAAAGTTAAAAGTGAAAGTTACCCAAAAAGCAGCAACAACCCGCTCAGAAATGTTATGTATTATTATTGCATAGTTCTTAAAAAGTATATGACACTAAAAAATGACGGTATATATAACCTTCAATGATCTATTTTAGAGCTGATGCCTTGCAATGCCTATATATCACTCAGAATGCCTATATATCACTCAGAATGCCTATATATCACTCAGAATGCCTATATATCACTCAGGGGTAATTAGGTACTGTAAGTTATTAAGCTTCACTTCCACTTAAATTGGGTTTTTGATGCTTGGGAATAGTAGCAGATGGATGCTGCACCTGCTTCGTGAAAATCATTGGCCAAACTTGCATGGGCTCTTGACTTTGGGCTCTAAGCTCAGATAAAATGTGTAAAGCCCACCCTCTGGGAACTTATCCAAACTGGTCTGCTTGCCAGTTTGCTGATCTTTGGTCAAACGCCCATTTATCTTTCATTAAGTAAATGTAAGTCTTGTCGTTTAGAAATGTTTGACAATTAAATATGACAAAAAATCAGCTTGAATTGATGACGGTATAGCTTTGAACTGTTGCTTTAATACAAATGTTGTGATAAAAAAAACATAATACTAGTCTCACCCTCGTGTGGAAGGATTGAAAGGGGCTTTTGATGTGGTTTTCAGGGGCAACAGAGGACATGTTGAAGCCGTGGCCGCAGGCTCCTTGGGTCAGTGCGAGCTCTTCCACTCGGTAGATGAAGTGAGCACCGTTAGGGTCATGTCCAGGCTTTGGCTCAATGATAAATGTCTTGTTTTCAAGTGCGATGAAGCCCCTGCAGAGACAGCAGTGCAATATGAAAACAGAGCATCAAAGCAGAAACCAATCCCTCACATGCAGACTTTGACTGAGTGTGGCACTCTCTGATGGGAAATCTTACAACTAAGGTAGCACTTTCTTTCTCTACAGGCCCACTTTTACCGAAGCAAAACTATAAAATATTTCAATTTTTTTCGGCAAAGGGGCCAAGCAACACAGAGCTTCGTTACCATTAGAACTTCTAATGTGGTAATGCACCTCTGATCCATAATAATCATAAAGTGTTAGTACCTTTAATGTTCTTTGTCATTAGCTGTAATTGCATGGAAAAATGTCAAAATAAACATTCACCGTTATCACAAATGTTTAATTAGGCAGGAAATGACATTGTGTATCTTAAAGCTTTCTGCTGATGGCCAAATCTCAAATCTTCCAATTGTTGTCGGTCATTAGCAACAGCAGGAAGCCAATTACTGCCAAAGTGAGTGCAGATATTTACTGAAAGCCTCTGTGGACAAAGACAATGAGGTGTGACATTTTCTCCCGTTCCTGCGGGTCACACACAAACTTACTGACAGCGTGCTTAAGGGGCTTAAGAGTGATGTGCTGCTGTGCCAAGTGACTTCAGTAAATATAAACATTGCAGTGGCAAATAGCACTTAAAGGGCAGTGTTGAGATGCTCCATGAATACAAAATGACGGTTATGTTTCTTACCGAAGGCCTGAGCAGGTGCTGAGGGTGACATCAGAGTTTGGATGTGTCTGCACTTCCCCATGGTAATAGCAGTTATTCTAAAAGAGTCAGAAATTATTTATTTAAAAGGGTTTACATGATGTGGATGACATCCAACGCAAAGAAGGCTCCAACCACTGGATAACGTAATTAATGATTTACAGTATTATAAAAAAGCAGTTTGTTACAGTCTGTTCTCCTGTCTCTTTCTGTACATTTTTTAATAAATGCAACCTACAGTTGAATAGAAAAGCAGCAGAGCTGACATGGATGGGAGGTGACAGGAAAGTGGGAATTGTTTTGCCTTCATTATTCCACCAGAGTGGTCTTGTGGAAGGAAATGGGGACATTTAAGGCTACTCCTCAGACACCGTGAAACACTGTTGTCTGAGCACAAGGAGAGCAGAGGAAGTGACTCTCTTTAAGAGGGAAGACAGACCTCCATTTACTGTCTAGCAGCTCTCCAGCCCTCTTATATCAGCTGTCACTACTCACTACCCTGACCATTTCTCATCCCTTATAGTTAACTGAAGAAGGGATTACTTTAGAGTAAGGTTTTTGGATAAAACTGTAATTTTCTACAATTTCTGTTTGTCAAGTACAGTACTGAGCCAGGTGGTGATAAAATTAAGATTCATTACATTAAGTGTAAAAATAGAGCAACTACAAAGGCTCTGTTCTTCAGCGTAGCTCGACCTAGATTAGTTCACCTTTCATAGAGGAAACATCAGGCGGGGATAGTGATTGTCTTCCTCAGTTATCCTCAGTGTCTGTGACTTTGAAAGTAGCTAAACGCATTCAAAGAGAAATATTTAGACATAAGCATTTTTAGATTTCCTAAAGCTATTAAAAGCAGAACAGAGAAGGAATACATCTTGGTTAACGCTGCAACATCCAGATTTCCAGGTTTTATTTTTCATCTCGAGTGGCTTTAAGGTTAGAAAAAACTATTTTTAGGTTTATTGTTAAATGTTTTGACATGTTTTCTAAAAGAAGAGCTGAACAGTTATATTCCTATGAATTATTTAGTTTTCAGATAATTCATAATATGGAGTTAATATGCAATACACTTCTTTTCAGTGCCGCCTGATAGCAGGTACTGAAAGTGTGCAGCCGCACGAGGCTCATTGAAGACAAACCAGTGTTTGTACTGTATTTGACAGGCTGATGCAATAGCTGTCACATATTTCCCTCACATAAAGGTGAGAGAGAGTGGAAAGCACTGACTTACTTTGCAGGAAATAGACTTGTCAGTTATTTTTTTATTACCAAATATTACTCATCCAAGAAAGACTGTAAACTTTGTTAAAAAAGAGGAGGGGATGATTTACAAAGTCACAAATCCCTGGTTTATGAAGACAAAAAGGCTTTCTTTCCTCCATAATGACATCTTATTTCTACGTCAACTTGTGGAGTAAAAACACCTTATTCATACAATGACAAATCTATTCTGCCACAGTGAGTGTCCTCGATACATACTTAAGAGTTTAAAATGAACATCAGGCTCTCCTAAATGTCCAAAAGTATGGAATAGAAAGTGAGAAAGGACTCAGGAATATGTCAGCTGCTGAAAGGGGATTCAATAATAAAATCCTGATGGCAATATTGGCTAAAGAACAACCAGCATAACACACAGCTTATCATCATGTAAGCCACAGAATGTATGTCCTTGTCAGCAAAAAACAGAAGCTTTTGAATACAAACAAAACAAATTATATTTAAACAATCTATTTATTTTCAATCCTGAGTTAGATGTTTTAACCAATGCAAAAGGTACAGAGAGGATTATCATTTATAAGAGTGATCTTCCATGATTTAAAAAAAACATCTGTTTTTGTGATCATTTTTAAGGGTCAGTTGTTACAGCGTGCCTGCAGAGCACCGTCAACTCAACCATAAATGTCAGAAGCACTGGAGGGCCACCGTACCGTGAAGTTGTGAGCACCGGTGACTGCTCTTCCATCCTCCCGGTAATGTGTCTCAGTGTAATGGCTTGTAAATAGACCCCTAAGAAGAGAGCAAAAAAAGACATGTCAGACAACCAGGTAATTTTTCAACACTGTGAATGTGTCTGAAAATAATCTGTATTTTAAGACTCCTAAGAAAACTCGACCCTTGGTTGACGATTTATGTAGATTCAGTGTTGCTTGTCAGGATTTGGGGGATAATGTGGATGAGATGCTTAGTATTCTGAGGCTAGGAAAGACTTGCATTTCTGAGAATGTATTAAGCAATCTGGACATGTGCTTGAATCCCCTGGCATTCAGCATGACTCAGTGGAATCCCTGCTGAAATAATTATTTTCTTCATGTGTGTTTCTGTGCGTATGTGTGTGTGTCTGTGGGCATATTTTAAACTCTGTGTTCATGTGTGTGTGTGTGTGGGTTTTCCTCGTAGGGCCATGAGCAGATGGACACAGTGAGCCCCACCCCAAACATTGGCAAAGGAGCATCAGGAACACCCATCTGATGCAGCTGCATAATCACACTGACACCAGTTCATTCATATCCCACAACGCCCTGCCATCCCACACAGCTTGCATGGACCAACAAACTGAATTAGTTGGGGTCGGATAAAGCCAATAATATACTTTTTTGCATACTTCAGGACTCATTTTATACATTTTCTGTACATTCACATTTTTGATGACCTGTTTAAAAAAGGATTAATCCTCGGTGGCCCGAGCCTGACCACATTTAACTTCATTAAATACTTATTATCGCTTTAATGTGCCTTATCACGCCATTAGCAAGCTCTAAAACAAATCTGATAAGCCACAGGCCAGTAATCACTTTAAAGAGGCCAGCATGTCTCATTATAAATGGATGACACATGAGTGGGTGGTGTGTGCTTAATGAAAAATCCCTAAATATGTTTCTTTATGTTGACTTGCAAAGGCGGACTGCTACTTCCCTAAAACACCAACACAATACAATGATGTTTTGTTGAAAAGAGGACCAATTCAAAATGCTCTAATACAGGATGTGTTTGCCGTAAAGATAGGATTTGTGGCACGTGAGTGGTAATTCCAAGCAAAAGCTCACATGCTGTACTTTGGAGGCATGTTTGGTAGAGCCAGCTTAGGGCAGCGTGGCTTTGATACTACGACACATACTGTAGTAAAGCTGCAGGTTTTACACGATGAAATCTGCTTCTAATCAATTCCTTGGCAAGAGGACATCGTTTATGAGGCTATAAATGTTTACTGTGTGTTTGAAAAGAGTTTCCTTCAACCTTGCTGGCTACCTTTCAGCTCTTTGGTGTGGGATGTGCATCCTAAACAGCTGAACATGACCCTGCTGGTGATCAAATGCCCTTGCTTCTCAAATATCTTCTGCTTTTTCACTGACCCAGTATATGAAATGTAATCTGAGCTGTTGGGCGGACTACAAACCTTTAATAAACAGGCCTTGGTTTTACTTTCTCCTGGGCATATGTGTATTCAAAACAAGATTTGACATTTGCGTTGAGCGAAGATGGAGAATGTCATGCTCACCCAAGTGTTGCTCGTGTTCTGCCACTAAATCCCAAAAATGGAGGAAAGCGAGGATGCCATTTCTCTCTGAATAGCATAATACTTCTGTGTGATTGCACCTGCCTTCTTAGCAACAATTACGCAGCTGCAACCCTGGTTTTGTCTAGAGAAACATGCAGCCAATCAAATGCAATTTAGATAGAGAGCGGCAGTGAGTATTGTTATGAAAATCCCCTAAAGCATTCTCCAAGTCCTGTTTTAAAAAAAAGTATTTGTTCTAAAAACAGGAGGCGATATGTATTCTGAAACAGGATTGCAGAGATGCTGAAGGATGTGCAAAAATAGTCATGTGTTGATGATGATGGTCTCAACCTCAAACTGTCAATTTATTGAACAACTGCAATTGTTGAATAAGTTGCATCATGTTTTATAATGTGTGTTGTAAAATGTACTGTTCTAACTTCATATGTTGTATTTATATAACAAAAATGATATATCAATCTACTATAATTGCTTGAGTCAATAACCATTGATTCAATGCTCCTAAGTGTGTGTTGCGAGTCATTAGACACAGTCTAACAACTAATTAACGATTCACTAATAGCCGCCCAGGTTAATTGTGATGAATGAGGGTCTCTTTATTAGCGCCTCTGGGAAAGAAAACTCTGTTATGTGTGTGAGAAAATAATCTCCCATCTCTTTTATTTAGCATCTTACAAACTGCTCTGAAGAATTAATTGAATTTCTCTGAAAAATTGTTTACAGCTTCAATTATTGATTGTTTTTAAAACCTGATGAATGGCTTCCAACGCATTGCTTTAGAGCCCAGTGTGTTAACTACACTAAGTGTTTGAACTTAATTACCAGTATGACTAAGCCTATTATTAAGCTGTTACTACTAAAGCCGTTCAAAAGGTATTAAGGATTCTTGTCCACCTTTTCAATCCCTGATAACTCAGATGAACATATGTCCATGTTCCCTTTCTATCTCTTGACTAAAGTGGGTTGCTGACAAACAGTGCATCTGACACAACAATCAATGAATGGCTTCCAGAGATATGACTAGCAAAACTCTGAGACATACAGACAAGGACAGAGCAGAAAAACTCATTACTGTGTACCATACAACATCCCTTTCCCTGATATGACATTCTGTCCAATCTGAAATACGGCAGATAGAACTGTTGTTGTTGTTGTTCAACCAAACATGTGTTTGGATGAGTTTTATTTAAAAAGAAGAACAAATCAGTCTTGCTCCAATGGCATAATAGATGGAGCCCAAACTGCATGTGTCACACGCTGTTTACACAAATCGGTGTTTTTAAAATCATTCCTTTCTGTGGCGTGCATAGAGTACAAGTTTCGGAGCAAATTTAAATCGCTGAGCTTCATTTACATATGTGACTCCATGCCTCATGTAATAATTCACCATTACACAAAGCCCCTTGAGCAAGGACCCATTTGAGAGAAATATGGCTCTTGCACTCCCTCTGCTTCCTTTGAAGAGTGCTAACTTCAGTGATTTATTTTAATCCCCTCTCCCCCACCAGCCTAACCCTAAGCCTTCCTATAGCTGCGTCTTATGGTACAGTATGCCTAACTTGAAAAGGAGCACACGACTACAGAAGGAGAGAGAGATGAAGAAGAAGAGAGGAGGAATTAAAGAGGTGTGGTTGACAAGTCTAATTCTATTTCCTCATACGGCTGGCGTTTCAAATTGATTTACATACAGCTCAATGTCCCTTCAGCTTAGACTTGGCTGAGGCGGGGGCACTGGAGTGTACAAGCCAGCGAAGTCAGAGAAAACCAGGGAGATGAGGGTGGGAGGAGAGGAGAGAGAAAAACTGAAAAATATGAGAAGTGCCTTCTTTGGCTTTGAGAAGGATTACTCACGTACACGCTAACAACCACATAACTGTAGCTTGTGAAATACAGTAAGCCATAAAATTAATCTGTTTTGTTTCTCCAGATGTTCATTTTATCACTTTATCTATATTATCAGTTTGGTAACCGGCTATAGTTGTGTCCTTAATCAGTGTTGAACTAGGTTACTAGGTTATACCAATAGAAATATGTGATGATGGTAACCACAAAAAGTGATTATAATTCATCCTGTATGGAAACATTTCTATGTGATCCATATAATTGCTCTGGAGCCATTTTACAGTGAACCAAAAAAGTGGAAAAGTCACGGGGGCACCAAGTCATAAGGAATCATCCCTTTGGGAACAATGACTGTCCGAGCTAAAGTTTGTGCTAATCCATCAGGCAGATGTAGATATATATATATAGGAAAATGTAAAAATTAAATCAGCTGGTGGCTCTATGACGTCAGGGCTGTGGTTCCTCTATATACATTCTGCAGCTCCACAAACTGATCAGGAGCACCTATAGTACAATCTCATACAGTCCTTAATATTCTCTGCTCTCATCGGACACATAGTATCAGGCTTAGCCTCTCACACACAAGGAGAGGAGCGATGTGAAAGGTGAACGACGTGCTGATAAATTTGGGGTAGAGACGTGGTGTGTTTTATGCATTTTTAATGCTACATTACTTGTCAGCAACCAATCATATGATAACATAGAAGGCATTTTGGCCTTCGTGTGCAACAATTTATTTGACGTGTAGTATACAAACAAGCCATAGTTGTGTTTTAAGAGAAAACAAAAATTCTGGCATTTGCTCCAAGGTGTTCTTCATCACAGAGAGGACATAAAGGATAACATGCAACCTGCTTCAAAAGTGAAGCATTTTCATGTATTCATTTTATAATAAATGATTGCAGTGGATCTAATGCATGCCAATGTGAGAGTAGATCATTGGGATTTGCAAAAGTAACTCGTAAATATGTAGATATACTTTTGAGTGTAAAAGTTGAGAATGTAGTTTTGTGTCGCAGTAGGTGGAAGAAGTCCCTGGCCCATTTCCTGACCCAAGTTTTATGAAAATACTAAAGTTGTGACGTATTTCTTATAACAGATATGCTAACCTAATGGTGGCACAAAGGAAAAGACTGTGGTTCACCAAAGTCATAAGGTTACCTCCTCTTTCATGTCATGTTTATCTACACTGTATTTGTTAAGGTTCCTCACTTTGATCGATAGTGGTGTTAGACACACCAACTGTGTTTGAGTTCTGCTGCTAGTGGGGCTACGAAGTCAGAATAATGAGCAGAAATAACCCAATATAAACGCTCCAGCAGGCAGCGCACCAATATCAAACAGACAGGCTGATCGGCAGAGCCTATTTAAATATTGACTGGCCAAAACAAAGATGGCCCCTAAATGAGTCAAGATCCATCTTTGCTTTGTTAATATTCACAGAGAGAGCAGCGTGGTAACTATAAAACATTCTGCTGTAAGTTCATAAAGGCCTTGATGACTTATCCCAAAATACAACTAATCCGACTGGAACATGAGACAGAAAAACAACAACAAATGTTGTTTACAAAGTTGTTTTTAGTTATTAAAGACACATAATAGCCCTGCAGATACATATGTATCAATGACTCAAAGTATGAGTTTACAG